TTTGGCCACCTCATGAGAAGAGAAGACTCCCTGGAAAAGACCCTGATGTTGGGAAAGATGGAGGGCACAAGGAGAAGGGGGAGACAGAGGACGAGATGGTTGGATAGTGTTCTCGAAGCTACCAGCATGAGTTTGACCAAACTGCGGGAGGCAGTGGAAGACAGGAGTGCCTGGCGTGCTCTGGTCCATGGGGTCACGAAGAGTCAGACACGACTAAATGACTCAACAACAACAAGTAGGGTGAAGCTGGCTTGGAGAGCCAAACCCTGATTGTGTCTCCATTGTGGAAAGAGTGCAAGGAGACATGGGGAAAGCCTGTGGGGCAGTGTCCTAATACATCCACCCCAGGCTGACCCTGGCCTCAAGGTAGCCCCACCTAGAATGCAGGTAAAGGGGGTGAAGTGAAGGCATGAGGCAGGGGTTGGTAACGCAGGTGAGCTGTGCATAAGCAAGCTGCCAGCTAGCTCTGCTGAGGCTCTTTTTATTAGCACAATATGCAAGACCAGTCAGATACATTTTGGACTGTGCCCTTTACATCTTCCAATCACGTGATCATGGGGTGGTACAAAGTTATTTTGGCACCTGTTTCCACTGCGCCACTTTCCCTTTGCACAATGTATGACGAAGGAGACAAAGGTCACAGACGGGGCACGGCAGACCACTGAGAGAGCCAAAGGTTAGATAGAGGGCATGATGTTCAGACAGCTGTGGCTTTGTCTGCGGGTGGAAGTGTGCTCCACACCCGGCGATCATTCCTTCAAGGGGGAAGCGGGATATGTGAGTCGTTCCTCTCACTGCCAGCTGGGCAAACATGCCAACACCTCTTGCACAGCAATGCCTACAGCCTGTTAAATTTGGAAACATGAACTGCCACATCCACCCCTCACCAGCGATTTCCCCCATGTATGAGTTTTGCATCAGCGGATGTAGTAATTAGTCAGGTAAACACTATTGAACTGTGAGATAACTTTCATTAAAATTAGCTTTCTCTACTGGGTATTGAAAGACCTGGCTAACTGGCGGTATTTTCCCACTGACAACTTGAAGGCTTAAGTCTGCCGTCAAGCACCATATTGAGCCAATCTGGGTTTTTCTTCGATGAAAAAGTAGTGCCAAGAGAAAATGTATATGCCTGGACCTCGGAAAGCCCCAAAGAGGTGTGGTGAAAAGGACCAGCGAACAATGACAGCAAGTAATGATACAGGAGTAGACCTCAGGGTAATTTGGGACATAATATCCAATTTTCAGACTGGGAAAGGTTATGGAAAACAGATTTGAAATTCTCAGCATGTTGTATGAAAGAAAATTGTATGACAATGATGTACAAGTGGGATTTGACTCCTAGTAAATTAGCAAAAATGTATGGGATAAGTACAAATACCAGCTGGAAATGTAAAGAAAAAGAAAGACATGCAAAGTAATAAAAACATTCTGGGAAATGATATATAATGAACTGGGAAAAATGTTTAAAGTAACTTTTATTTAAAAAAACAGAAACTTCTTTTATTAGGAATTTTAGGTACCAATATTCCAAAGGAGCAGAAAAGACTTTTTATGTATGCGACGACAGCTGCACGGATGCTACTGGCCCAGAGATGGAAAGACGACAAAGTCCCTACCAGAGAATAATGGCAAATTAAGCTGTTGGATTATGCTGAATTGGCAAAACTGCCTGGAAAGCTGAGGAACCAAGAAGACCAAAACTTCAGTAAAGAATGGGGAAAATTTATAACTTACTTGGGAGACCATTGTAAGCAGATGAAAACATTAACAGGATTGCAATAACACTTGTAATCTAGCAAACACTATGGACAAAATGGATAACATAAAATATGGACCATGGACTGATAGGCAGTCAACAAGGTTGACAATAGGACCCATGGAGGGGAAGGTGGGAAGTCCAGAGATTCAGAGAAATCTCTAAATATGGATGTGGCGCTGTGGTCTAAACCACTGAGCCTCTTGGGCTTGCCGATCAGAAGGTTGGCGGTTCGAATCCCCGCGATGGGGTGAGCTCCCGTTGCTCAGTCCCAGCTCCTGCCAAGCTAGCAGTTTGAAAGCACGTCAAAGTGCAAGTAGATAAATAGGTACCGCTCTGGCGGGAAGGTAAACGGCGTTTCCGTGCGCTGCGCTGGTTTCGCCAGAAGCAGCTTAGTCATGCTGGCCACATGACCCGGAAAACTGTCTGCAGACAAACACCAGGTTCCTCAGCCAGTAAAGCGAGATGAGCACCGCAACCCCAGAGTCATTCGCGACTGGACTTTACTGTCAAGGGTCCTTTACCTTTTTACTTTATACTTGTAACTCTATACTTGTAAAAGCAAATAAAAACTATTTCTTTAAAAAGAAGACCTCGGGAACTGGTTTTACTGGATGCCCACTTGGAGAGGAAAAATGTGTGCCAGGCCCCCACATCTGCTCCTCAGAGTGGATTACCATGAAGTATGAATCTGGCCTGACAACCAAGAACTAACTTAGTACCTTAGTATAAGGTACTATGCTGAAACAGAGGAAAGTGTCCAGCAAGCGCCACCTTGAAATTGCTAACCAACGCCTAGCACTCAGCATCCCACCCCCTTGCAATCTTGATATTCCCAGTCTGTTCTTGTTTGATTTCAAGGTGCCTGATGCACCTATTTGAAACTTCAAAAGAACATCAGAGCAGGAGAAAGGGAGAAAAATTGCACAAGCGAAGGCGTGGCAGCATCATCTAAACATTGGAAAGGAGCGTGGAAGGTATTTGAAAGCGTCCGGAGGGGGAGCTAGCTTTGTTGTGGGCGTATTCATGTGGTTATTTTAAAAGCAACTTCTTTGAAATCCTGCAATTCGCCTACTGTGACCTGTGCACTAGCCTGTGACAAAAGCTGGAGTCCCAACTGTGTTTTGCAAATTCTTCTCTTCTTATCGCGAATTACGACCGTGCACGTGTTTGTGTGCAAAGCCCACATAGTAGCAAAGCAAACATTTTTATCTCTAAAGCAAAAACTATCGCATAGTTTAAGCAACCTCCTAATTTTTGCAGGTTATAATATGTTCAGAGATTCTTCTGTCAGCCATTCCTGCTAATGGCCAAACAGAAATAAATAGATCGTTTGGTTACATATTGAGTTCTCTTGCATCTATCATTACCTTTTTGCTCTGAGGACAAAGGACTCTGGCTGGTCAACTGGATCATAGTGCTTGTTATGCTGAGCAGTATGTATATATAAGGACGCGGGTGGTGCTGTGGGTTAAACCACAGAGCCTAAGACTTGCCGATCAGAAGGTCGGCAGTTCGAATCCCCGCAACAGGGTGAGCTTCCGTTGCTCGGCCCCTGCTCCTGCCAACCTAACAGTTTGAAAGCACGTCAAAGTGCAAGTAGATAAATAGGTACCGCTCTGGCGGGAAGGTAAACGGCGTTTCCGTGCGCTGCTCTGGTTCGCCAGAAGTGGTTTAGTCATGCTGGCCACATGACCCGGAAGCTGTACGCCGGCTCCCTCGACCAATAAAGCGAGATGAGCGCCACAACCCCAGAGTCGGCCACAACTGGACCTAACAGTCAGGGGTCCCTTTACCTTTCCCTATGCTGAGCCGTATGTACAGCTTTGGTTTCTAATAATTAAAGGCTGACATTTCCAAAGAAAGAGAAAATGTTATGGGCATATTTCCATGTCTATCAGCGAGAAGCTGTTGTAAGATAGACTGCAAATAAGTCTAAAGCAAATTCTGTCACAGGGAATTGTTCCTGATCCAGTAGATAAAACAGCCTATATTCCACTGGAATAAAAAAAAAACTGGTATCATGAGGTCAGGCAATTTAGTGGCTCCTATCTGACAGTTGACTTACTAGGTACCTACTGCCTGGTGGGAGGGAGGGAAGAAAAGACAGAAAGTCACAGGATTGTAATTTGTATGCACTGCTAATCTCGAACTCTGTTAGTCTCTTGTAGTAAAAACAACAGTCTTGTGGCATCCTAAAGACTAACAAATTTATTATGGCACAAGCTTTAAAGGATTACAGTCCTCTTCATCAGATACACCCAGAGTTGCATATACAGTATACATAGTTGGGGTTTGGGCAGGTGTAGAAACTGTAAAAGAAAATGCAGAAAAGTATCAGGGGTGATGATAATATATTTAGCAGTGGCCATTCACAAGAAATAAAGACTAGTTGAGCTGATAAACAGAGACATCCCAGCACTGGTAAACCAATCAATACTGGACTTCTTCAGCAGTCCAGCTCCTTTGTTCAACGACGGCTACCAGGCATGGTCAGTAACAGAGAGAAGACAGAAAGCGCATGCCATAATAAATGTGTTACTCTCTAAATGTTCATTTTTATTCCCAAGCAAGTCCAATTGCCCTTGCGCGCCCAAATGTGCGTTGGGCGGCCATGGCGTGCCTAGAGTCTAGAAAAGGACGGAGGTTTATTTACTGTGGAGCTGGAGATGTAGGTGTTTAAAAAAAAATCGCCGCGTGACTACAGCTAAAGTCACAAAGGACGCCGGCCACGCCAGCCTGACAAGGTTGTTTTGAAGGTGAAGCGTGCTATAAGCGCCGCAAAAACACCTTGCGCCCCTGCAAAATGAAGCGCACTTTTGCGCACTGCCTCAATGGACGGTTGTTTTTGCGCCGCTTGCACCGGGGCTTGCTACTCCCGAGTAAGCTGCGTACCGACTTGCCACTCAACTTGGGCATACAGTAAACAGCCCACCCTCTGCAACCGAACAAGCACGCAGAAGGGCAGGTTTAGGAATTGCAGAAAAATCAAGTAGTAGTAATAATAATAATAATAATAATAATAATAATAATAAAGGTTATATCGGTTTCTTTCCCTCCTCTTTCCCGTTACCGAAGGGGAACAAAAAAATACGCGACGGCTGCAAATGACAGCGCAATGAATTTCCACCGGTTTGCTGCGCAAGAAAACGCACAACAGGTTGGCAGCGACGCCCTCTCTTCCCCACCCCCCTAAAAAAGGGACGCCAAGAAATATAACAACAATCCTTAGCAGCAAAGGAACAGCAACTCCCTTCTCCCCCCATCGCCGCCGCCGCCTTCTCCTGACCCACTTTGCAGCAAGCGGGAGGAGATGGGGAGGCGCAAGAGGCGCTTCTGCAGCTTCGCACGCGGCGGGACTCCTTTTCCGCCCTCCCTCCCCCGCGGCCAGCGCAGCAATCCGCGTTCTCCTCGCGCAGCTCCCCCCTCTCCAAACGCGCTGAGTTTTGGAGAGGCGGAAGGCTACTGGTTCGCGAAGAGTCCCCTCGAGGGGGAGGGAGGAGGAGTGGCGGCGGCAGGAACGTCCTTCCCCGCCCGCCTCCTTCCAGCCCGAGCTGCGGTAGCCGCAGAAGGCGGGTAGTCGTCGCTGGAGGAGGAGGGTGTGGAGGCCTCTGCGTCTGTCTTGCCCGTGCCACTCGGCGCCCTTCTCGGCTATTGTTGCCTGCGCGTCAAGCGTCTCCTTTTCTCCTTTTTTTCCTTTTTCTCCTTCTCTCCGCCCAGGCCCGGAGCCAGCCGAGCTCCCCCAGAAAGCGCCCTTCCCTTCGCCGCGCCTGGCGAAGTCGCGCCCTTGGTGGCCGCCGCCTCCCCAAGCGTCCCCGCCTTCGACGCGCTGCGCGCACAGCCGGAGCGCAAAGCTTCTCCTTCTCCCCCTCAGCGGCCTGGACGTTCTCAATATGAGCGGCATCGCCTGCGTCGAGAGACACCAGGTAAGCAGGGGCTGCGAGGCCCACCGGAGCCTCTTTCCAGCGAGGGACCGCGTGGCGCAGTCGAACTCGAATCGGGCTTCCTTGTGCGTAAAGGCGCACGGCGCGCGCGGGATTTTTTTGTCCCCCAACCTTGTGAAACCGCCCGTCCCATTCCTTGATCGCGATGGGGCTTACCTCCGAGTAAACGGGGGCGGGGGCGGGAGGATCTTGCCGCGCGGCGAGGCGATTTAGGGCTGGGGAAGCCAGAAGAGGGGCGAGACCTCTTTTCCTTTGAAGGGCGCTCGGATCGCGTGGGGTGCTGACTTGAAACGTTGGGTGGTGCCACTTGATGGTGCAGGAGGAATACTTTGGGGTAGGAGGAGCGGTCCACAGACCCATTGTAGTGTGTGCAAAATGTGCTTTTAGAAGCAACCCGGTTTTTCCCGCAAATGGCGGAAGGGATGTCTGGAGAAGGAGGATTTGCGCGCCCTGTCTCTCGTCGTTGTTAATTTCTGCTGTTATTTCCGCAGACGGGTGATCCTCACGCACCCTCCAAGTGCGTTGGAATTGAGGTTATACCTTGTTTTATTTTGAGGTGTGCGCAGGCTTGCGTACTTTTTTTCCCAGAGAGAAAGGGAACCGTGACTGTGCCATGCTGCCCTCGATTTTTTTAGGTGGGTTATTGCAGTGGTGGGCGTGACCCTATTCGCAGTAGTGGCTGACGATGTTTCGTGGCGTCATGGGTAAACGACACCGGGAAGTAGATGGGGGCTTCATGTTGGTTATGGGGTGCCCACCCCCTTCACTTTGGTGTGGTTTATTGTGCTGGCTCCGCTGTGCCAGCAAATAGAGTTAGGAAAGGTGGCTGAGGCTCATTTAGTCCAACCCCTTGCAGTGCAGGATTCTCACCTAAAAAATCCCTGACAGGTGGCTCATCCAGCCTCTTCCAAGGAAGGAAAGTCCACCAGGGATTTAAAAGGTGAGAACCTGTGTAAAAGAAAATAAGCTAGATTCTCCTTGTCAAATGATTCTGGATGGTCTGCCAGGCGGGGCAGCCTTGAAAGTGAGGTTGGAATTAAACATATTAATTCATCACTTAACATAAATAAGGTGAAGATCTAAGGATGTTAATGTTTAAGTTAAATTTCATAAAAATTGGGATTTGGAAAACCGTTAAAAGGACATGCAATGAAATTCAACCAAGGGGAAGCAAGGAAGTCACTTAACAAAGTTAATAACTGCAATTTTCAATAAGGCTATGATTTATGGTTGTTTGTCTTGTGTGTTTGTTTGTTTATAATATTGTGAAAGCTAATAAAATTTTTGGGGAAAAAAGAAAGCAAGGTTGGAGAGTTCTAACCAATCCCAGCCGCTTCAAAGGTTTACGGCACATCTGCCCCCTAGTGCATTTCCTCCCACCCCCATTTTGATGGCTGTTTCTGAGAAGGGTGACCTGACAGGAAGCCAGTGCATGTTCCTTTTTGTTTTTGTCTGGGGCGAGGAAGCATTTTGCCTATTACCTTGCTACAATCTCGTTAAGAAGCAGCTAGGAGATTACCGCAAGTTTCGAAGGGTTTTCGTTATTTGAGGAGAGGTTTTCCTTTCTCCTTCTTTGCCTTTGTTCTATCTCCACGTTGGCCCGTCCTGTTGCCAAGCACATGGAGCTGAAAAGCATCTGTTCCAAAATGCTTGCTGCAGTTGAAGGCGTGATTGGGTGGGGAGGAAAAGCCACGCTGGCCAATCCAGAGGCAGATACGGTTTCTCTGTGTTATAATTAGGCAAGGCGTGAGCAGATCTCTGGATTATGTTTCTGTTTTTTCCATTTGCTTCAGTGGGAGAAACCCATATTTTGCATCACATATTAAATAAATGTCTGGGATTTTGCTCTTGGCCTGCCTACAGAGGCAGTCAGCCATATGTCAAGGACCATAATGTCTTCTAGACAACTGTGCATTTATCTTAGTCCAGCCCTTCAGTTGGACGGTCATATATAGCTATATATAAAAATCATATTGGGAAAATTGTTTGTGTTGTGATTTCAGGATGTGAAGTTCTAGTGCTATACAATAAAGTGTTTGGCTGGTGGTGGTGAAGGGGACAGCTAGCCTCTAAATAACATGGGTAGGCGAACTAAGGCCTGGGGGCCAGATCCGGCCGAATCGCCTTCTAAATCCGGCCCATGGACGGTCCGGGAATCAGCGTGTTTTTACATGAGTAGAATGTGTGCTTTTATTTCAAATGCATCTCTGGGTTATTTGTGGGGCATAGGAATACATTCATATTTCCCCCCCGAAAATAAAGTCCGGCCCCCTACAAGGTCTGAAGGACAGTGGACCGGCCCCCTGTTGAAAAAGTTTGCTGACCCCTCCTATAACATCTACTACTCCAAATGGACCTGCTCAAGTTAAAACAGTAGCAGAATCATACGTAAACACACTAGGGAGAGGGCAAATTACACATTACATGTAAAATGTGTGTTTGGAAGCCCCTGTAGATTATGTTGAGGAGGGGTAGGAGTGAGAGAAACAAGCTTAACTTCTAATCCATCAGCCTTTTTTATGCTCAAAATCCTCCTGGCTGCTGCCAACTGCTTCCTTCCACCCTTTGAGATTCCTGATGAATTGTCTGTAAAAGTAAATTACATATCTGGAACCGTGTTTGTGGGACTCTTGAGAAAGCAGCCAGCGGGGAAAGACAAAATACCCGGCCAGTTTTACTTAAAATTGCAGTCTCTTGCGGAAGTTTATAGCACCAATTACAGTGGTGCCCCGCAAGACGAATGCCTCGCAAGACGAAAAACTCGCTAGACGAAAGAGTTTTCCGTTTTTTGAGTCGTTCCGCAAGACGAATTTCCCTATGGGCTTGCTTCGCAAGACGAAAAAACCGCAAGACGAAGAGACTCGCGGAACGGATTAATTTCGTCTTGCGAGGCACCACTGTAAATCGGGGGTGGCTAACCTGTGACCCTACAGATGTTGCCGCGCTATAACTCCCACCGTCCCTGCCCACTGCCCATGCTAGCATTCTCCTCATGTTTACCCACTGCCCATGTTTACCCGCATTCTCCTCCCCTCCTCCAATCTAAGAACAGCTTCAGGGAGGTTATTTAGATCTGGAAAACATTGTGCAAGGTTGGAAAGGAGGGTAAGCAGCCCTCCCGTAGTATTGCTTTTGATCAAAATCTGCTTCAAAGATTGTAGAGCAATCTCTCTCAGGCGTCATGTATTGTTTTGGGTCTCATGCATCATCAGCTCATGATGGCTAAACTTTTATTCACGGATGGGGCAAGGTAGATGAGCTGTGTTCCAGGAAAGGTGCAAGACAATTGCTGTAGCTAACCAGTGTCCGGATGTAATTGGATTTAGTTCATGCTGTGAACTTTGCAGGGCGGTTTTCTTTGCCCCTCCTCTTGACGGATGGCGACCGCATTGCTCTTTGTTATGTGCCTGTCACTAAGAATGACTTTGTGTTTAAGCTGTAAAACAAGCACTTTGAACATCAGTACGGTTTGGGGCAACAGCTTTCTGGTTTTCCAGCTTTTTAAATCTGTGTCTAGCCTGACACTCTTGGAAAGGTATGCATCGTAAGCATATTTTTTTTAAAGTTATAGGAGGCCAAGCAATTAAGAGTTTACTTGTACTTACGCTGAAGAAACAATGACTCACTCTGGAACCTTACTCAAATAAAGCAGGTCTTGAGTATGGGAGTGCCAAATATAAAACAAATCAACTGATATAGTTTTTCAGTCGGTTTATGTCTGTGCTGAAAATTTTGAAAAGCAGGAACGAAAACTTGAACTCAGGGCAGGAGGCCAGTGGAATCGCGGGTGAGACGCCAGGCATTGCAATTTGGGGGCATTATGGAGAAAGGAATACCTTAAGCTTAAATACCATTATTATTATTATTATTATTATTAATTGAATTTATATACCGCCCTATACCTGGAGGTCTCAGGGCGGTTCACATAAAAATATCACAGTATATAAAATAAAAATAAAAGCAATAACCCAATAGTACCCCCCCTCCAAAAAAAGAGCTACATTTTAAAAGGTTATTGGATGTTAACCAAAGGCCTGGTTAAAAAGGACCGCTTTTGCCTGGTGCCTATAGTGCATTGCTCCTTAACGGAAAAGGAATGTGACGAACTAACCCGTCCTGGATGCACAAACTCCATGTTCAATCTTTTCAGACAAAAGATGACAGCGCAATCCCTACATCCCTTAACTGCTTCTTGGCTGTTCGTTGGACAGCTATGCATTTAGTGAAAGGAGTTTGGTCTCACGTGTGGTGTGTTGTTAGATCTAGATAGAGGTACAACAAGAGAGTCCCAGGGAATAATGGGAAATGGATTGAGGTAGAGAAATAGAAAAGGCCGCCTGCAACTCGCGGTGGGAATGGCTGGCCTTAAATCAGTTTCCACACAGTTTAACCAAGCCATGGATAACTAGCAACCTGCAATTATTCAAGCTTTATGCACTTGGGTTTTCTTTTTTAGTTGGACAGGCGGGGGCAGGTGTTTGGGGTGAAAAGACTTTGGCAACCCCACCCGCCATTGAACCCATAATGTTTTGGCCATATACCGTATTTTTTGCTCTATAAGACTCACTTTTTCCTTCCTAAAAAGTAAGGGGAAATGTGTGTGCGTCTTATGGGCGAATGCAGGCTGCGCAGCTATCCCAGAAGCCAGAACAGCAAGAGGGATTGCTGCTTTCACTGCGCAGCGATCCCTCTTGCTGTTCTGGCTTCTGAGATTCAGAATATTTTTTTTTCTTGTTTTCCTCCTCCAAAAACTAGGTGCGTCTTGTGGTCTGGTGCATCTTATAGAGCGAAAAATACAGTATGTTTTGGCTTTACACGCTGTTCCTGGAATGTAACCCCAACAGAACTTGAACACCACCTATATATTAAAGGCGACATATAGATGGTGCTACTCCTCACTAAAACTCCCAAAACTGGAGTATTGCAATAGTGGAGAAACATACCAACAGAGGAGGGAAAGGGGAATTATAAAGGACGAATTTGTTCAGAGTACTTACTGTAGTTTGATTTTTATCATGTTTGTTAACAAGAGGAACAGTGACAGAACTCCCTAGGATGACAAAGCTAATCTTCAGAACCTGCTGAAGTAGAAGCAGAGCATTCAGCCGAGTCAGAAATAGTGGAAATAGATTTAGGAAGAAAAACAAATGAACTGATGATGGGCAGGATATTTAATTAATGATGTGCCCATTTGTCTCTGGAAACAGTGTTCGTATTGTAGTACTAGTAAGTGTGTTCATATGAAACCAATAAAAAATAATTTTAAAGGGAAGTTATGCATGTATTATGGAACTTTTAATTTCAGTCTCGTGTGGCCCAACCTTCAGAAGTTTTACCGAGAATTTCTGTGGAGAAATATCTGCTTAATTTCAGAGTACAGTGGTACCTTGGTTTATGAACTAAATCCGTTCCAGAAGTCCATTCTTAAACCAAAGCGTTCTTAAACCAAGGCGTGCTTTCCCATAGCAGCGGGGGACTCAATTTACAAATGGAACACACTCAACAGAAAGCAAAACATGTTCTCCTTCCAAGGCAAAGTTCACAAACCAAAACACCTACTTCCTGGTTTGCAGCGTTCTTAACCCAAGTTGTTCATAAACTAAGCTGTTCTTAAACCAAGGTACCACTGTATTGAATCCTGTTGAGGTGGTTTAGAAAAAACAGATCCATTTTTTGTGAAGTTTCAGTTGAGCTTCTTTAGAAAGGTGGGGAGAAAAGAAATCCAAAATGTGAAATCTAGCCACTCTGAGATTAGATGGAGGTGGATTGTCCTCAGGCAAGAGATTGAATAGAATTTAGATAAAGCGCGTAGAATCTTTTAATAATAATAATAATAATCAATTTTATTTAGGGAAATAGGGAATAATAATAATGGGGGGGGGACCCAATTTAAAATACAGGGTAAAATGCAATTTAAAATGCAGCCTCATTTTAAAAGTAGCCCATAGATCAAAACCATAAGGGGAGGGAAACATAAGGGTCAGACTGAGTCCAAACCAAAGGCCAGGCGGAACAGCTCTGTCTTGCAGGCCCTGCGGAAAGATGTCAAGTCCCGCAGGGCCCTAGTCTCTTGGGACAGAGCATTCTACCAAGTCGGGGCCAGTACTGAAAAGGCCCTGGCCCTAGTTGAGACCAAACTAACCACCTTGCGACTTGGGACCTCCAAAGTGTTGTCGTTTGTGGACCTTAAGGTCCTCCGCGGGGCATGCCAGGAGAGGCGGTCCTGTAGGTACGTGGGTCCTAGGCCGCGTAGGGCTTTAAAGGTCTGCCTAAAGCCTGCCTTCCCTTGGGAGCAACTTTCTGGGGACACGTCCTTCCTGTTGCCATCCATCTGTCTTGAGAGACAATGGAGTATGCGCCGCGGGGGTTCAAGTCAAGCCACTTGCATTAGCGACCTCCCAGGGGAGCAAGCAAGGGCAATGTATATGGAGGTCCTGGTCTGCCCTGACACAAGATGCCCCTCTCAGCCTCCCTGACTTTCCTGGAGCAACAAGGTGTGACTTTTACCTTTTGTGTAGTAACCCTTGCAAAGCTGGAGTTAAAACAAGCAGTGTACTTTATGGCCAGCAGGACACCTTAAAGTATCTTCAAACCTCCTATGGAGGCATGACTTGTGTAAATGGTCTTCTAGTTGGGGGAGAGACCACTTAAATAAATATTGATGCAAATTAAGCTGTTCCACACAGAAAAATCAGAACAGTTGTTATTATTATTTGGAAATAATTTTCATTTTACAAGTGTAGCATTATAACAGTACAAAATAGATATCCATATTTAGAGATTTCTCTGAATCTCGAGAGTTCGCACCATCCCCTCCGTGGGTCCTCTTGCAACCTTTTCAACTGCGTATTATTTCATAATCCATTTTATGAATCTATCGATATTATTTGCTGCACTGTTGTTGTTGTTTAGTCGTGTCCGACTCTTCGTGACCCCATGGACCAGAACACGCCAGGCACTCCTGTCTTCCTGCCGCTACAAGTGTTATTAAAATCCTGCTAATGTTTTCATCTTACGGTGGCCTCCTAAATAAATTATATCCCCCCCCCCCCCAAAAAACAAAGCAATTAACAGTAAATTTGAAATCAAAACTTCTCCTTTTAAATAATACTGGTGCAAATTTGTGTAGTTTTCAGTTTGGCTACTGAGCAGGATCGTAAAACTAAGACAGATTTAGTTCCAAAACCAGTTTGGAAACAACATTTCTGGAAGGATTGATGCTTTTGAATTATGGTGCTGGAGGAGACTCTTGAGAGTCCCATGGACTGCAAGAAGATGTCCATTCTGAAGGAAATCAGCCCTGAGTGCTCACTGGAAGGACAGATCCTGAAGCTGGGGCTCCAATACTTTGGCCACCTCATGAGAAGAGAAGACTCCTTGGAAAAGACCCTGATGTTGGGAAAGATGGAGGGCACAAGGAGAAGGGGACGACAGAGGACGAGATGGTTCTCAAAGCTATCAGCATGAGTTTGACCAAACTGCGGGAGGCAGTGGAAGACAGGAGTGCCTGGCGTGGTCTGGTCCATGGGGTCACGAAGACTCGGACACGACTAAACGACTAAACAACAACAACATCTAGCAGATACTTCTTTCACCCCTGTCTTCCATGTGTCACCTCTCCAGCTGCTAGGCCCATGACATCACATCTCTCCATTTTTGTTAATCCCAACCCATTAGCCATATTACACAAGTACAGATATGAAGTCCCTAGCATTTGCTTCCATTAAATTTTATAGTCAAAAGATTCCGTCGTTTCCCATCTTACATCGATTTCCTCCACTTGGTTTGCTAGGTGTGTAGTTACAGGATGAGACACTTTCACAAGAAACTTTCTTTTGTGATCATGCTCACGTATATTAGGAATATCGGTTGGGGGAAATACTGCTGTTTCCGAGTGAGTAGAAAATAAGTAGTTTCCCAGATTGTTTTGAAAATGTGGTACCACCCAAGGATTAAAACTTGGTTGCATATTTACATATTATATAAAAAGTAATTACCGTATTTTTTTATGTATAAGACTAGGGTTTTTTCCTAAAAAATAATGTCAAAAATTAGGGGGTGTCATATACATGGGGCCATCTCCCCCCTTTTCTTAAATCTGAGTCCCCCAAAATACATGGGGGCGTCCTATGGACAGAAAAATACGGTAACTCCAAAATATTTAAAAACCTTCAAAGCCCATCAGTGAGGAATATTTGCGAACAGTTGTAAGAGATAAGGTTCTGGGAATAGAATACCGTATTTTTCGCTCAATAAGACGCACCAGACCACAAGACGCACCTAGTTTTTGGAGCAGGAAAACAAGAAAAAAAAATATTCTGAATCTCAGAAGCCAGAACAGCAAGAGGGATCGCTGTGCAGTGAAAGCAGCAATCCCTCTTGCTGTTCTGGCTTCTGGGATAGCTGCACAGCCTGCATTCGCTCCATAAAACGCACACACATTTCCCCTTACTTTTTAGGAGGGAAAAAGTGGGTCTTCTAGAGCAAAAAATATGGTAGATCTTGAATCACAGTGGGGTTTACATTTTATAAGTAATATCCCCCCCCCCCCCGGTTGTTATATTACAGTGTGGGTGTTACAGGTTACTTAAGGGCTCTGAGGCTTTTTAAAGAAGAGTTGCTTTAAGATGTAGGTCTATCCAATAAAAGCTGCTGTTTGTAGACTTTGCCCAGACTAATCTCTGTTTGCTGGGTCAGCTACAGTAATACAAATGTGCTGTAACTGAATTACTGTAGGATATAGCTGAGTGATTGAAACAGATCTAAAGAGGATGCAGTCTTTATGTACCATTTACTGATTTGGGGGTAAATAATATTTCATGCAAAATTGTCCTGATTTCCTTAATAGCGACAGGCTTCCATTAACACCTTTTAATTTTAGAAAATGTTGGTCTTTGTTTTCATAGCCTTTCAGGCAGTTCACAGTTGGCATAGAGTCAAGTCCTAAACGGATTCTAAACATGCAGAAATCCCAAATTAATCAGTTTATTTTTTTGTTTTCTATTGCAGAGTATGATGCACGACTACCACAGAAGAAATTCGTATCTATAGCTTTTAAGGACTTGATTACATCGTTTTAAAGCCTGGTAGTTTTGGAGTCATCCGTTTAGAAGACGCAACTGCTTGCATTATTCCAAGCTGCTGCTAATCTTAGGAGGAATATAAATTGACGTGCTCTCATATTAACACACAAGAAGACTTCGGATTATTCAAGGTCTCCTAGTTACCACAACATAAATTTATTTGATACGTTTTTACTCGGGTCGACGCATATATAATGTCATTTCTTGTGACGTGGAGTGTATTGATTAGTCAGCTGTACAGTACGATAGACTTTGATCTGATTTTGATACCGTAAGCCCAAATAAAAAACAGAGAGTCATGCAAACTGGCACCTGATAGCAATTACATAATCACTTTTTGATATAAGCTGCTTAATTGGAAAACTGATTAAAAATTGCCTTCAAACAAACTGGTGACTCCCCTCTTGCCTTCCCCCCCCTTTTTCCCCAAAATGACCCCTGAATTTTTGAATTTTATTGATATTGATGCTGCATTTTATGTTGTTTTTAAGTCGCATTTTAATCAAGGTTTTATATTTGCTGTTAGCCGCCCTGAGCCCGGTTTTTAAACTGGGAAGGGCGGGGTATAAATAAATAAAAATTATTATTATTATTATTATTATTATTATTATTATTATTATTACAGACCTGCAGTGTGACAGTGGCTGATAACTCTGGCAGTCTTTCTGCCAGCACTGCTCATGGTTGAGAGGGCACAACGCCTTGGGTGCTCTCACTAAACTTTACCATTTCAGTAGCAAGTGAAATTAGTACAGTGGTACTAATTGTACCACTAAGGGACGCGGGTGGTGCTGTGGGTTAAACCACAGAGCCTAGGACTTGCCGATCAGAAGGTTGGCGGTTCGAATCCCCGCGACGGGGTAAGCTCCCGTTGCTCGGTTCCCTACTCCTGCCAACCTAGCAGTTCGAAAGCACATCAAAGTGCAAGTAGATAAATAGGTACCACTCCAGCAGAAAGGTAAACGGCGTTTCTGTGCGCTGCTCTGGTTCGCCAGAAGCGGCTTAGTCATGCTGGTCACATGACCCGGAAGCTGTACGTCGGCTCCCTCGGCCGATAAAGCGAGATGAGCACCGCAACCCCAGAGTCGGTCACAACTGGACCTCATGGTCAGGGGTCCCTTTACCTTTACTACCTCAGGTTAAGTACTTAATTCATTCTGGAGGTCCGTTCTGAACCTGAAACTGTTCTTAACCTGAAGCATCACTTTAGCTAATGGAGCCCAATTTCTGTTTGCTTATCCTGAAGCAAAGTTCTTAACCTGAAGCACTATTTCTGGGTTAGCGGAGTCTGTAACCTTAAGCATATGTAACTTGAGGTACCTCTGTACGGTGAACCCTCGAGTTACATATCGCTCTGGATACGTAACTTTCGGGTTGCAAACGCAGCAAACCCGGGTTTTGCTGCATGCGCAGAAGCGCTCTATCGCACGTGCACAGAAGTGGCGCCTCCAGTTACAGACTTTTCAGGTTAAGTACGGACCCCCAAAACGAATTTAATTCGTATCCAGAGGGTCCACTTAATTATTATCACTTTAACCCCACGTCCCCTGCAAATTGGTTTGGTGTGTGTCTCTGGAGAACACCCCTATTGCTGCAAGTGGGGAGATGATTCCGTCTGGAAGGCGGAATTACCGAACTGACGGGATGATCATAATATCACATTGAATTCCTCCAGTTTATTTACAGCTTTGTGCATGTGTGTCTGCTTTCACAGATGCTTACTCGCAGGTAGTAGGCATAGGGTAGGAGCATGGGATTGTTGTTTGTATAGGATTACAACCTCAAAAAGGCTTTGCATCAAATAACATCACACTTGGTTCTATTAACAATTGCAAATTCTCCTCTTCAGCCACAGAAACAGCAAAAATGATTCCTAATGGCTATTTGATGTTCGAAGATGAAAACTTCATCGAGTCGTCCGTTGCCAAGCTAAATGCTTTGCGAAAAAGTGGCCAATTCTGTGATGTTAGACTCCAGGTAACTTAACAGTGCAACAACTGGGTGTTATGTTTTGAGTTTGGAATTGGGGGGAGGGGGATTTATGGTGTTAATTAATTTCTCAATTAATTTCTCCGCCCTACATGTTCTGAAAACTCACTACACCATTAGATGGAATTCTTTTGAAGTCTCTTTTTAAAATTATGAGCCTGATCCAGCCAAAACTAAGCATTCTAACTGAAATCAGTGGTAGAAATGTGCTTACCTTATTTAAATCCACGAGACTAGAAACTGGGTCATGAACAAAAGCAGTTGGTAAAAAGAGACCATCTGTAGTTAATCATTACAGCTCTGAAATCCATTCAGTTATTGGTTCCCAATTGATTGACCCCCCAAGGGATCTGTGGCACCATTCACATAACAAAAACTTTCAAAAAAAAAAGGTGGTCCATGGCTTGTTTTTTGAAAAACGGGGTCTGAAGTACTTAGCTAATTGGGATCCACTGCAATAAATCCACTGATTTTCAGTGGTTTTCTATTCTGTAAGATGTAACATTGCATATCATCTGTTAGGCTGAACTATTTAGGTTTAACACAAGTCTTTCTCTTATTTTAATACAGGTCTGTGGGTATGAGATGTTGGCACACAGAGCAGTTCTAGCTTGCTGCAGTCCTTACCTGTTTGAAATCTTCAATAACGACAGCGACTCTCACGGAGTTTCCCATGTAAAGTTTGACGATCTTCATCCAGAAGCTGTTGAAGTCCTGTTAAACTATGCCTACACTGCCCAGTAAGTGACTTGGTTTTTTGTTCTACAGACGATAGGCATTTTTATCTTATGCTCTCTGTTAAGAACAAATTCTAAAATAACCATATAACTTTAATAGATTGAAAGCTGATAAAGAACTGGTCAAAGATGTGTACTCTGCAGCCAAGAAACTGAAGATGGAGAGAGTCAAGCAGGTATAAATTTTGGACACTTAAGAAACCAAAGTTTCTGTGACCTTAGTTGGAGGAAGAGCTCTATCGTTAATCTTAATGAGCAACTCAAGCATTTGAATAGGCATATTGATTAATACGCCTGCATTTTTACCACTAAAAAGCCATGTTCATCTTTAAAGCATTTCATTTATAGATTAGGATCAAAGCTTTAAGAGATACGAAAAAAGGTTTACAAATGGGTAAAAGCTTAATGGTAAGGATTTGCTGAACTAACAAACTGAACTGGAATACAAAAAAGGGAGGTACGAGGAGGTCCGGGGAAATAAGTGTAAGGAAGATAGGTTATGGAAAATTAACGTGTTTTTAACTGTTTTTATTTTGTATGTTTCTCTTTATAGTTCATTTTTTTGTTATATCTTAAAAACTTTATTCTTTTTTCTGTATTTTCTATTTTCTTGTATTTTTACTTTTTGTTTCTGTGTAATTTTTGTATTCTTTAAAACTATAATAAATATCATTTTTTTAAAAAAATATATAGATTAGGATCAATGATGATGATGAAATAGAGCCTAAGGATTTCATTTGATTAATTGTTGGTCCGCTATATGGATTTGGGGACAGTTTCGTAAAATATATTTGTTTGCTGATGTCAGCAGTTCTGGCAGTGCACTTGCACAGATTAATGTGTGAACCGAGCAATCAAATATAGATGGCCTCAGTTCCTTTAATTGTAGCAGACAGTGACTGTAGACACATGAGCTGCGTGCTGCTTTTGCATAAACGGCAGCAAAGCGGTGACGCTTGCAGATAATGCATATCCTGGCTTATTTAAAATATTTACAGCAAAATATAAAATAAAAGGCTGATTATATTTGGTCCCGTTTTCCTAGAAGAAAAATCAGGCAGTGCCACTCCCATTTCTGCAGCTCAATTTTGTGTTATCGCTGCTGGATAGTACCAGCAAAGGCATTTGAGAGTGATGTCTCAGAAAAGTTTGATTAACAGTTATGCCGTTTGTCTTAAATTAAGAGCAGCAATACGTTAAAGGCAAGAGAAGATGTAAAATTGATTTGCTGAAATAGGGGCCATGGCAGGTTGGTGGGGTATAAGAAGTGAGAAACAGAAAGTGCCCCAGAAGTGTACTGAACCTCTTTTTTAAAAAATAACATAATTGTATGCCTTTCTAAAAGGTTTGTGGAGATTATTTGCTCTCCAGAATGAGCGTTGAAAGCTGCATCTCCTATCGGAACTTTGCAAGCACCATGGGCGATTCACGTTTACTGAGTAAGATTGATAGTTACCTTCAGGAGCACTTGTTACAGATCTCTGACCAGGAGGAATTTCTCAAATTGCCACGTTTAAAGGTGAGCAATCTCGTGCTCCTTTCTATTCCACAGTAAAAAAAAGGGAAGTTAGTCTTGTTCACGTTTTAATGCTACCAGGAAATCGTTAAACGAAACTGTGTTTCTTAAAACATATGGGCAAACAGTCTTGCAGATTTTGAGTTGCTCAATTTGGAATTGTCACTCCTTCCATGACCTTTTCCAGAACAGCTGAGTGATTTTACATGCACATATTGGACGTCCCAGGAGTCTTGTCACTACAGCTATCTCAAAAGTGCAGCATTTAATTCCACCCCCAATTCCAAGCCCCCTCTCAGTTGTGTCCAGAATTGCAGCCCTTTTACTTCGTTCCATAGAAGAGGGATTCTCAAGTTTTCTACTCCCAATACCCACTTGAGATGGCTGAAAATTATCGAAGCCCACCAGTCAAAAAATGGCAGTGGGTGGAGGCAGTGTTTGTTCCAGTCAGCTGGCAAGCACTGACATCTTCTAGATCTACCTAATCAATCTTGGGGAATTGCTGTGTTCTTTTACCACAGCGTTTTCCTTGTGGCAAGGAGTTCCTTAGCTTAGCTTTCCCGTTGGTCATTTGATTGTTCTCTTTACCCATTGTTGTCTTTTTAATTGTATATATTGCTTGTTTTATGTTGCTATGGCCGTTGGCTAATGCGAATAAACTATCTGTCTTTCCCAAAGCAAAGTGTAGACCAGGGGTCAGCAACCTTTTTCAGCCGGGTGCCAGTCTACCGTCCCTCAGACCATGCGCTGGGCCGGACTATATTTTGAAAAAAATATATGAATGAATTCCTATGCCCCACAAATAACCCAGAGATGCATTTGAAATAAAAGCACACATTCTAGTCATGTAAAAACACGCTGATTCCCAGACCGTGCACGGGCCGGATTTAGAAGGCAATTGGGCCGCATCCGGCCCCCGGGCCTTAGGTTGCCTACCCCTGGTGTAGATGTTTGCTCTGGAGGTCCTGTGACAGAACTAGTTGACCTGGCAGCTCTTAAAAGTGGAGAAGGCTTTTTCTGTTACATTTCCCCCTTCCCACCTCCCATTCTTCCACACTCAGCTTGTACCATATTCCCTACCCTCATTTGCTGGGTCATCACCTTGTTGTAGTGCGTGGGCTTGCACGTTCCTGTGATCCTTGTGACCAAACAAAAAAACAAACCAGCGGACCTGATGGGATACCTGCTGAAGTCTTCCAAGTGGGCAGAATTGAACATACACAACAATGTCACAAGCTTGACAAAAAAATCTGGGAGAGATAGGAGATTCCAGCAGACTTCAGGGATGCCAAAATCATCAATCTCCCACCCCCCTTTTTTTAATGGTGATAGAACGGACTGCAGAAATTATCGAGACATCTCTTTATTAGCTGTGGCCAGCAAAATTCTTGCAAGGATCTTAGCAAACCTTCTCCTAATTATACCAGAAGATATTTTTCCTGAATCCTGAAAGGGTTTTCGACTTTCTAGGGGGACAGTGGATATGATTTTGACTGCTCGACAGCTTTAAGAAAAATACAGAGAGCAAAACCAAACCCTGTATATGGCGTTTATTGACCTGAGGTCTTTGACACTGCCCTGTGGACTATCTTCTGAAAATCCAGCATCGCTTGAGCTCTGCAAGCGCTGCTTTCTCCCAACTGAAGTGCCAAGAGTTTGAGGACTAGGAGATTCACAGGGAAAGCAAAATCTTCGTTTACAAAGCTATTATACTACCAACTTTACAGAACGCTTGTGAAACATGGGCCACTTATAAACTATATCCAAATCCTTGAGAGATTTCATCAACGGTATCTCTGAAAATTTTTACGCATCATTTGGGAAGACAGGTGAACTAATGCCAGTGTACTGGAAGAAGCAAAGATCCCCAGTGTCGAAGCAATGATTCTTCAACATCAACTTCGTTGGACTGGTCATGTTGTTCGGATGCCTGATGATCGTCTTCCAAAGCAACTTCTCTATTCCCAGTTTAAGAATGGAAAGCGAAATACTGGTGGTCAACAAAAGAGGTTTAAAGACGCTCCCAAGGCAAATCTTTTAGAAATATCATATAATCACTGATAACAGGGAAACACTGGCCTGTGAGTGCTCCAGTTGGAGACAGCCTTTACCAAAGATGTCGTGGACTTTGAAGAAGCACAAACTCAGGACAAAAGGGAGAAATGTGCTAAGAGGAAGGTACGTTTGGCAAACCCTCACCGTGATCAACTCCTGCCCGGAAATCTCTGTCCCCACTGTGGAAGGACGTGTGGATCCAGAATTGTCTTCCACAATCACTTATGGACTCATGGTTGAAACCATGTTCACGGGAGACAATCTTGCTCTGCTACAAGTGATCGTCAAAGAAGGAGAAGATATTCCCTACCCCTAAACTTACCCTACCCCACTTTTTTTCCATCCCTCCACCTTAGTTTTACGCTCTTTCCCCCCTCCTATAGTAGCTTTCCTCTCTCTCCCTTTCTGTTCCCAATGAATTACCATGAACCTTTTATCTCGCTTTCTGGTTTCCTTCAATACCACCTCTGGCCCTTTGACCTTGCCTGCGCTCGCCCCGCCAGACCTCTGTCTCCTGGCTTAACACGAATGGAGTTGCTGGTCCTGGCATGGGTTCAGCCAAAATGCCACGGGCAGTTAGAGCATGCATAAGCAAACTCTGGCCCTCCAGATGTTTTTTGAGACTACAATTCCCATCATCCCTGACTACTGGTCCTGTTAGCTAGGGATGATGGGAATTGTAGTCCCAGACATCCGGAGGGCCGGAGTTTGCCTATGCCTGAGCTTAGAGGGTGAGGCAGGCAGGTGAGGAGGTGGTACTGGGCAGGTTGTGGCACTGAGATGCACCTGGAAGTGTCACAAGGCCCTCTGGTGAACCCACTGTTTGAGAAATACTGCCATAGAACTTAATGGGAACCACTGGCAATCGAGCCTGCTCCTGTCTTCGTAGCCCCAAGCAGGAGATTCTGTTTGTTTGTTACACCAGAATGCGAGCAAACCTTGATATTTTACATCCTCCGTTCTGGATTTGTTGTTGTTGTTGTTAATGTCATTCATAAAGCAAAACAAACTGTCAAAGCAGTTTGCCTTAATTATACCTCTAGAAAGTTCTATGTTGGTATAATGATGTTTGAGATTTTATTTAATCTTGTGTAGGCAAGCCTTTTAGGTCTTTTATCTCTCTTAGCCACTAAACCCTTTTGTTTTTTATTCCAGCTGGAGGTCATGCTTGAAGACAATGTTAGCTTGCCCAGCAATGGCAAATTATACACAAAGGTAATCAACTGGGTGCAACGCAGCATCTGGGAGAATGGAGACAGTCTAGGAGATCTGATGGAAGAGGTTAGTCTTTTAAAAACGAGCTTCGGCAGCCTTTAACAATTAAGCTTTTCTGAAATTAAGGATGATCCTTTTTCTTTTCTTTTTTTTTCTTTAAAAAAAAAACCTATTTGAAAAATTTAAATCTTACTGTAGGTATCCCTAAGCTGAGAAACTTAGGGGGGTTTCCAGGTGAGCTCCATAAACTGTTTGATCTGGTTTTTCTGTTTCTGTTTTTTACTCTTTTAACAACTTCGCTCTGGTGAAAACGGGGAGGTGGTTTTTAAGGCTCACTGTATGTCCTTAATGTGTTCCTTTTTGCAGGGTTTTTGCTTAAAGAGAGACAGTAGGTAAAAGGTTCTAATGGTTGTTCCTCCCCATTGATTTATCTCCCCATAGGTTTATTAACAAAACTAGGATACTCAGCGCTGAAGAACCATAGAAGAAACTTCAAGTGTAAAGAAGCAGCAGTCGTGCCCCAGTTCTCCTAAGAAAATCCGCTGGGGGCAAAAAACGATGATGATGATTAATGGTGTTTACTTCTTTACAGGATATCTTAACTTTTGACAAAACTTGTGTAATTAAATAGCCTTTCTCACATACCCAGCAGTCAGTGTAGTCTCAATCAGAAATGCCAGCGTCTTGAGAATCGCAGTGGAGATAATATAAATTTTGAATTGTTTGCAAAAACTTAACCTAGCTTGCCATCAAACGAACAACCTTTGAGAATGGTTATGTTTGCTTTATTCTGCCCTTCCTTAGAAGCCCAGTCAAATAGTCTTAGATTCCCCTTAAAGTTCTCGTATTTAGTAATGGGCAGGCAGTAGACTTTCCTAAATGGAAAATCAGCCCCTCTGGGCTGTACCCAGCTAAGTGACATTGTGAGCAGGGCTACTCAAAAGTACAACTTAGCCGGATACAGCTCATTTTTAACATGACCCCTTTTGTAATCCAATTGTGCTTAGTTTACATGCATTATTCACTTAACTGGACAAGGAGAAGATGTTTGTATTTTGCAAATAAGAAAAATGCGTGTTGCGGCAACAGTTTTTGTGTGTGTTTGAGATTGTCAATCTGTACAGTTTATTCTGCAAGATAATGTACACCGTCACACATCTTAATGTTACGGCGCAGGGAAGTCAAGGCAACTGAAGATTTCTTTTGAGCTGTGGAAGCGGGGATCCGTCATGCCATAACTGGAAGATCTGTCGTCATGAGAGCAACTTCTTTTTTAATTTTTTAATTTTTTTTTGCCATTCTGCTAGATGGAAAGAAGAGAACCTGACTGAGACTTGGAGCCCTTATGGAGTCTTGTGTTCTGTGTACCAATAGTTGAATTAGGCAATGGAGACCGTAGCCACATGGCTGTTCTGTTGTTTTTCAGGTTCAAACGTTGTACTACTCAGCCGATCACAAGCTGCTTGATGGAAACCTGCTAGAAGGACAGGCTGAGGTGTATGGCAGTGATGATGACCACATTCAGTTTGTGCAGGTACAAATTGCACATGGTCTGAGGTAACCTCAGGTAAAACTGGTTAGAGTAGTAAAAGGAAGAAATAACAGTCTCAGAACAGTAGCTGCCTTAGACGGCTCGTGTGGTCTAGTTCACGAGTGGCAAGCGTGGCCTTCCAGATGTTGCCAGATGCCGCTGCCCCCAGCCCATGCTAGCATGGGCAGTGGGCAGGGACAGTGGGAGTTCTAGTGCAGCAACATCCGTAGGGTCACAGGTCAGCCACCCCCGATTTAGTTCCTTCAAGCTGTAACGTAATACAGTGGTGCCCCGCAAGACGAAATTAATCCGTTCCGCGAGAGTCTTCGTCTAGCGGTTTTTTCGTCTTGCGAAGCAACCCTATTAGCGGCTTAACGGATTAGCGCTATTAGCGGTTTAGCGGCTATTAAAGGCTTAGCGGATTAGCTGCTAAAAGGCTATTAAAGGCTATTAAAGGCTTAGCAGATTAGATAAAGGGGGGGGGGGAGTGAAAAAAAAATCTCAAGACTTGCAAGACATTTTCGTCTTGCGAAGCAAGCCCATAGGGAAATTCGTCCTGCGAAGCAACTCAAAAACGGAAAACCCTTTCGTCTAGCGGGTTTTCCGTCTTGCGAGGCATTCGTCTTGCGGGGCACCACTGTACAGTCGTACCTTGGCTCCCCAACAAATCGGCTCCCAAACGATCAAAACCTGGAAGTGAGTGTTTCGGTTTTCGGAAGCCGAACACTCCTGCAGCCAATTGGAAGCCACGCTTTGGTTTCTGAACGTTTTGGAAGTCAGACGGATTCCGTTCAACTTCCAAAGTACGAGTGTAAATATGCCTTTAGTACAGAAAGCACGGCGTAATGAACAAGAGCAGTTAATGGAAGTTCATCTTAAGATTCTGGAATGTTGAGAAGGGAGTGCAGTGCTAAAGATTACAGGAGCTTGCAGATAGAGCTTAAGCGATCCGAGGCAAACAAGGAGCGCTGAATAAGTTTCTGGAAGCAAGAGCTTCGTAGCATAGAAGTGCAGGCTTTCAGTTGCAGCAGGTTATCCAGCACGTGACTAGGAGTAGCACGTCATGAAGTAGCCCTGGAGATTTCCTTTGGGAAACCTGCCATACAGGGCACAAACTGAGCAGAACCAATTTGTAATTGCAAGAATAATGGTATACTTCAGGTAGCCTGCAAACAGCGGGAACGTTCTGAATACTGTAGTGCACTGCATTAGTAACTTGGTGAAAATTTCACTTTCTGGATGTGATAACTGCCACTGTTGCCATAATTCAATTTCAAAGTACATTTTCAAATGGGAGCTTTTGAGTTTCAGCAACCTAAATGAGTCGAGATATTTGAACTAGAAAAGAATCTGTGATGAAGCAGAGTTCAGTTCATTTTGCAACTTAAATGTAATTAGGTGGTGGCATCTGGAGTTGCAAAAAACAGAGAGGTGATAATATTAGCCTTCTCTCAGCTGCTAATTTAATAGGTTTGTTAGCAGGAGTTGAGATTTGAAGAAGTTTAAATCTCCTAATACTTGGGAGCTGTTTAAAAAAAAAGTTTGTACAGGTGTCGGTAGAACCTAGATGCAAATCAGTCTTTCAGGGGTGAGCAAGAATTCTCAGACTTCAATTAAATGATTTGTCCCTTGAAAACCAAAGTGTTCAAAAGGCAGCCATGGGGGGGTCTGGCTAGTTACAATAGACAAGTAGGTTGCTTAAGTGCAAGGCAGAGGCTGAGCCTAAGCCCAAATGCCAAACCCCATACTTGATTCCTAAATAACTGCAAAATACCCATTTCCCAGAAGGAACACCCCCAAAGCATGTGTTGCAGACAGAACTCGCACCCCACTTAAAAAATGACAAAACCACATCCTGAAAACACGGGGATCCTTTTTCAGATGTTACTCACTGCCTTCCCCCTACAAGCTTATAAGGCAGCAATCAGTCTTCTTTTCTCTCCCCGTTTTTGTTTTAAAAAGCAGCAGGCAGTTGGACTGGGTTCACTGGAAAGCAAAAACACCAACTGCAAAGTAGTCACACTTTCCTTCTCTGAGAATGTCTCTGGGACCATGTGGGATCCAGAGACATTCTGGGAAGAAAAAGAAGAAGAAAAGATGGCGGAGTCTTATCTCCCAAAGGTTAAAAACAAATGAATTAAAATTAAAACATTCAGAGGAGCAGGGACACCAAGGGAGGTGTCTAAAGCCCATTTGGGAGAGAGAGGAGAGTGGAAATGAAGTATCTTAGACAAAAGGAGAAATGGCTTCAATAGAGGAAACTGGTGTAATTATTCTGAAACAACAGAGATGGGTTTCATAGACCCGAGGTGGGCAGAAGGTAGATTGGGATCTTCTCCTAGATCTCTGGGTGATCTGCAGGAGATTGGCAAAGCTTTTTGTCTTTTAATTGTTTTAACAATAGCAATAACAAAACCCTTCCAATTTCAAGGAAGTTCAAATGAAGAAAGCTTAAGCGGAAGTGGATTTTTGCGTGAAAGGATACGGCTTTGTTTACTAATTTCTAGGCTCGGAATGTCCTCAAGACTAGGCACCATTTCTTCTTTAAAAAAAACAACTAGCCATATGTCCCGTGCATCTAGCTCTGGTCGGTAGATTTTGGGGTTCTAGTAAAAACAGCAAGCTTGAATTGCATCCACCCCACTCCTTAAACCATAAGGCACTTGCAGATTAAAGTCTATGGTTTGGTACAGATAGGAAGAATTGTGCTGAAAGAAGTAGACAAAATATATGCGATTTGGTAGAAAACCTTATGTAATACCTTGGATTTATACAATAAGTCTTCAGAGTTTTGCTGTGTAGGCTATGCACCCTTGAAACTTGCGTAGTAATAATAGTTGCCGCAGGTACTTTGAAACAAAGTGAAGATCGTCCCATTAGAAAGCATAGCTTACGTGAAGCTAAGTCATTAATTTGATTCAGAAGCTAAGGAGTTGAGTATTGGGGTGAAATGGTTTTTGCGAGTAAGGGGTGCGTTACGTGCTCCATCACGTTGCTGAGATTTTGATTCGTCAAGTTGCCTGTGCAGATGTTCTTATAAATGAGGCTGCACAGAGGTAAAAATAGAAGAGAAAATAGTTCTGAAACAAAGGCAGATCACAGTATGCTCTGTGGCCGGGTTTCTGTAGCTGCCTTTTGATTTTGCAGAAAAAGACCCCCCGTGAGAATGATCTCAAGCAGATAAGTAGCAGTTCCTCTGGAAGTCTTTCTCCAAACGCAGCAGTGCAGAGTCCTAAACACGAGTGGAAAATTGTTGCTTCAGAGAAGACCTCAAGTAAGCAGAACTTGTGTTTCTGGGAATGTTATTTTTAAATCACTGTGTACCCATGCTTAAATATGGAAGTTGCAGGAGGCAGTGCCATTTTTTGCAATTGTGTTAATAAATGCAGTGTTCTTTTCTCGCCTTCAAATATTGGGGGAAAGCTGAAATTCCAGCCTACCTAGAGGGTAATGGTATGGCTTTAGTGCAGGCTTCCTCAACCTCCAGATGTTTTTGGCCTACAACTCCCATGATCCCTAGCTAGCAGGACCAGTGGTCAGGGATGCTGGGAATTGTAGTCTCAAAACATCTGGAGGGCCGAGGTTGAAGAAGCCTGCTTGAGTGGAAGAAAACATGATCATATTTTGGAATTAAATGTACTCTTTCCCACCCCTTGCTTCCCCCCCTCCCCCCAGATAATACCTACCTGTGTCTCGCTGTTCTGGATGGCGTGTTTTGTGTGATTTTCCTTCACGGGCGTAACAGTCCCCAGAGTTCTCCGACCAGCACTCCACGGTTGATGAAAAGCTTGAGTTTCGAGATCCAGCCAGGTGACCTTATTGAAAAGCCCATGTCTCCGATGCAGTATGCTCGGTCTGGATTGGGAACAGCAGAGCTTGGCAACAAACTCATAGCCGCAGGTAAGGAAAACCTACTAGCGCTTCATGCAATGCAGGCCTCTTCATTTTCTCATACTTGGGCAAACTGCCATGGGAAGTGTTTTGCGGAGTAATTGCTTGCTAAAGTTGGGTTCCCGAGGAGATTCTGTTATCTTAAATACCTCTTGCGTACTTTGCATTCCTGCTAGGTGGATATAACAGAGAAGAATGCTTGCGCACCGTAGAATGTTACGACCCCCGAAAGGATTGCTGGACTTTCGTTGCACCGATGAGGACACCAAGAGCCAGGTTCCAGATGGCAGTGTTAATGGTACGTGTGGGGTGAATAGCCACGCCCTCTGGCACCCTCTAGGTAGGCTGGAATTTCAGCTTTCCCCCAATATTTGCATTTACTTGGATTTGGCTCTTGATTACATGCCAAATCCAAGTAAATTCAGTTAAAAACCACATTTTTAAAAGAAGAAGGGTGCAGAAATTTCAACACTTGCCAAAGTGCTCATCCAACAATATAATAAAAAGAAATCCTACACACGCAAACACTAATAGATTAGTCTGAGGTTAGCCTCCACTGTAATGCTGAAGTATGATCTCAAAAACTTAAATGCCCAAAGCAAGGATAAATTACAATGTATTTTTGGCACCTGATAACATGGACAGTGACAATTCCAGCGAGTTTCCCTGCAGAGCACAGGTGAGGCACACACGAGAAAAAATTGACCCCCGTGGAACTCCACCTTGAAGGTTCTGCAAGGCCAAACAGCACCCCCAAAGTGCCACTCTCTTGACGAGAGTCCTCCCAAGTAGGACCAGAACCATTGCAAAACAGAGACACCCAATCCCTGATACCATGACTGAGGGTATCAAAAGCTGCTGAGAGATCAAGGAGAATCAACAGGGCCACTCACTTCCTGTCCCTGCCAGAAGAGCTCATCGTGCAGAGCAACCCAAGAATCTGATTTCTCCGACTTAAAATTTGTAGCAGTTCAGCACAAAGGTGATGGTCACGTGTTCCTCTGCACTTTTTGAAAGGATACACCTAGGTTCATAGTTGCCTGTAATGATGGGGCAATTCCTTTTCTTGGAGGCTTTCCTTGTCTGATTTAGAAACTATTCGCTACTAACACACCAGGCCGAGGCATGCCTGTTTAACCAAAACAATGTAATGGATCTTTGTTGTAATATTTATTGCTTCTTCAACTTAGGGGCAGCTGTATGTTGTTGGTGGGTCCAACGGCCATTCAGATGACTTGAGCTGCGGAGAAATGTATGACCCGGAAATTGATGATTGGACTCCCGTTCCAGAGCTGCGAACCAACCGTTGCAATGCAGGTAAGAGTCTACAATGCCCTATGAAGGTTATTATTTCTTTCTTAAGCATTCAGGCAATAAATTGTTTCGTTTCTCTCTCTCCCCACCATGGATTAACAGGTGTTTGTGCCCTGAATGGAAAGCTGTATATTGTTGGCGGCTCAGATCCTTACGGTCAGAAAGGATTGAAAAACTGTGATGTCTTCGATCCCATAGCAAAATCCTGGACAAGCTGTGCTTCACTTAACATCCGTAAGTCCGTGTTTTCATTTTTCGAGTTGGAAGGGACGCGGGTGGTGCTGCAGTCTAAACCACAGGCCGGCAGTTCAAATCTGCAAACAGGGTGAGCTCCTGTTGCTTTGTCCCAGCTCCTGCCAACCTAGCAGTTTGAAAGTACACCAGTGCAAGTAGATAAATAGGTACCGCTGTGGCGGGAAGGTAAACAGTGTTTCCGTGCGCTCTGGTTTCCGTCACGGTGTTCCATTGCACCAGAAGTGCTTTAGTCCTGCTGACCACATGACCTGGAAAGCTGTCTGTGGACAAATGCTGGCTCCCTCAGCCTGAAAGCAAGATGAGCGCCGCAACCCCATAGTCGCCTTTGACTGGACTTAACGGTCCAGGGGTCCTTTACCTTTCCCTTTCCCTTTAACCTTTAGAGGTTGGGATGGCTTTAAGAATTCAAGCTTTTTAGGAGACAGAAATTTCTTAGGGCAGCTTCAGCTGCAGTGTGCCACTGTTAGAGGTCTGCTACTGCTAGTTTTTAAATGAAATTTGGTGAGAATCAGCCCCCTGACAGTTGGTAGAGATGAGACTCATTAATCTCAGGGTTGTGGGTTAGAGCCCCGTGTTGGGCAAAAGATTTCCTGCATTGCAAGGGGTTGGACTAGATCAGTGTTTCCCAACCTTGGATCTCCAGCTGTTTTTCATCCCTGACCACTGATCTTGCTAGCTAGGGATGGTGGGAGTTGTAGTCCGAAAACAGCTAGATACCCAAAGTTGGGAAACACTGGACTAGATGACCCTTGTGGTCCCTTCTATCTCTATAATTCTATGATTTTGAGAGAGAAGCTGCATCTTTTGCTGCAGCAATATTTAGTATTGAGGGTTGTTTTTCGCAGACTGCATTAGAGTGGCAACAAGTGGAATCGCTTTCTGGGACCTTTTAGACTGACTTATTGGCAGTTGACTCTTGGCTGGCATGAAAAATGTCCCCTACAGTTTTTGTGATGCTTCTGTCATTAGAGCGCAGCTTAAAACCCCTCCCCCTGATTTGCAATCTTGTGTTGGCTTTTCGTTTATAGGAAGACACCAGTCTGCTGTATGTGAGCTTGGCGGACATTTGTACATCATTGGAGGAGCTGAATCTTGGAACTGCCTTAACAGCGTGGAGCGTTACAACCCAGAAAACAATACCTGGACCCTGATTGCACCGATGAACGTAGCTAGGCGTGGTGCAGGTGTTGCCGTACTTGATGGTAAGTTTGTGTGAGTGGAGCTCCGCAATTCAGAGTAACCCCCTTTTGGTGGGGGGAGGATATAGACCTTGTGGCCAAGAAATGGGGCACAGCAAATCAGAATACATGACAGAGCAATAGGGGTAATGGCTCTCTCGATGTTTGCAAGCCCATTATACTGGCTGAAGATGTCTAGAGACTGATTGTGAACCATAAACCACCAGAATGCCTATATTACGCAAATCCAAAACGTAATAGGCCGTATAGTAACAATTGCAAAGTTATTTACTAGAACTACTTCTCAAAAATTAGATACCACTTTTCATAATGTCAAAATCAACATCGGGACAGAATATAATAAAAATGTAACTTTCCGGTTCACCACCAAGTCTAGTATGTACAAAAAACCCGGCTGAGCGTTATGGAGGTACAGTGCCACCTCTGGTTGCGGACGGAATCTGTTCCAGAGGTCTGGCCAGATCCCAAGGTTTTTGCAACCGGAGAGACTGCTTCTGCGCATGCAGCAGTAGAGTGCTTCTGCGCATGTGCGCACGGCAAAAACCCGGAAAAATACTTCCGCGTTTGCCGCTTACGCATCCCAAAGTTTTCGTAACCGGAGGTACCACTGTATTCCGAAGAGCTGGAAAGTGTTGAAGTGGAATTTTATTGCCATCATAATTCATTAATTTTTTGAAAGCTCAAGCAGTATGTTTAACCTTGCTTGGTACGCAGTTAACCTTTCAGGTATAGCTTTTGTGCCCGGAACATGGTTTTTCCCTCTACAGTGGTGCCTCGCAAGACGAAATTAATCCGTTCCGCGAGTCTCTTCGTCTTGCGGTTTTTTCGTCTTGCGAAGCACGGCTATTAACGGCTTAGCGGCTTTAAGAAAAAGAAAACAAACTCGCAAGACGCCCATAGGGAAATTCGTCTTGCAGAACGACTCAAAAAACGGAAAACCCTTTTGTCTAGCGAGTTTTTCGTCTTGCGAAGCACGGCGCTTAGCGGCTATTAACGGCTTAGCGGCTTTAAGAAAAAGAAAACAAACTCGCAAGACGCCCATAGGGAAATTCGTCTTGCGGAACGACTCAAAAAACGGAAAACCCTTTTGTCTAGCGAGTTTTTCGTCTTGCGAGGCATTCGCCTTGCGGGGCACCACTGTACACTTTACTGAAGATTGACTGCTATCCACTCTACAGGAAAACTCTTCGTTGGTGGCGGCTTCGATGGTTCGCGTGCCGTCAGCTGCGTGGAGATGTATGACCCTGCTAAGAACGAGTGGAAGATGATGGGCAGCATGACGATCCCAAGAAGTAATGCCGGTTTTGCAACCGTGGCCAACACCATCTATGCAGTGGGCGGCTTTGATGGCAATGAATTTCTGAACACAGTCGAAGTCTACAACCCGGAGTCAAACGAGTGGAGCCCATACACAAAGATCTACAAATTCTGACGGACAGGAGGAGTGTCTTTAAAACTAACAGGCTTAGTGATGTAATTGTCAGTAGAGGTACACATGTGAATAGGGGGCGGGGGGTGTTAAGTTGCCATCAGCAACACAAAAGCTTTTTGCATATTGCATACTATTAATATGCTGTACATATTTTTATTTTAGAAGACGTGCAGGGTGTTCTCTGTTTTAGGATTTGTTACTTTAGGCTGGAAGTTGATAATTCTGAGAGAATTAGAATGAAAGCTGATGGCATATCATTTCAAGAGCTTCCCCCAATGTTTGTTTTGCCAATTTGCACACACAAATACTTTAACCTTAGAATTTGTTTCTGGTACCGGCAGGAAATATAGTGAGTCTTCAATGTGAGCAATGCTTTTTAGGGCTTGTTCGAGTTTTTTGTTTGTTTAATCTTAACTGGGGAAATCTAATAAGCCTTATTTAAATAGATTTTGGCTTTATATAAAAGAAAGCTGACACACCTGCCAATTTGACTGCCTTTTATAACTTTTTATATATAAATATAGTCATAGCCAGTTGTTATATTCTGAAGTGACATGAAATAATACGTTGAAACAAAAAACAGTGAGTAAAATCTCAAAAGTTCATAAACTGAAGTGAAACATGTCGTTTCTTCATGTGTGAGAGCCTTTCATTTTTGTTTTCCTGCTACATTGTATGAAATCCAAGTATGCAATATTGATTTTCATTGCCTTCGAGTGGAGTTTCTGAACGTGGCCATAGTGTAAGGAAGGGGGGGGCGGGGAATCTGGTTCTGAAATTTAACTGATTTAGAGAGGGTGCTTTTTTCTGTATGTTTGTTAGGTTATGCAGTTGTAATAAACATGCAAAGCTGCAAAATGCTAAAACTGTGTGGTGTGTTAGCAAAGTTACCTATCTGAAAATTATTGTATAAGTTTGTATCTTTCTACTGCAACCTAAAAAAACATGCTATGATTAAAAACTGTGCTTCATTTGTTTAACAATGGCTGTTTAGTATCCTTGCATCGTGTTTTCTCCTAATGGTCTAGATTGCCCAGTGCTCTTCACTCCATGAAGCAGTTGCCTGTGTATCCCTATCATCATTTTTTAGCTTAGCAAATATATGAATATAGCTTCTCCCTAGTTGGGGCAAGAATCAAGCCAGGACGTATCTAACCTTAGTTCATTTTTCAGGAGAAAACTGGTTGTCAGATTCACCAGGAAAAGAAATATGAGATTCTTGCTCTTCAGTGCCTGTACATATTTAAATCTTGCAGGATTATGGATTTATGTTGTTCCTAGATTATTAACACTTTTCTACTGATAGCAGTGCCAAAAATTAATATAAAAAATAAACATCTAAGAATACATAAGCCACTCAAGATTATTCTATGGATTTATACTCCCATCTTTTAGAAAATTAACACAATTTAGAAAGTACACCAAAAAGCAGGCTGGGCTTTCCCTGGACTTTATGAAGGAAGCAGAACACTTTTTAGGGTGTAGAAACCAAAGACTGAGTTAGGGTTTTTTGTTTTTAAAAAGGGTACAGGATAGCAGACTTTGCACGAGAGCAGAGTTTATGTGCTCTTAACAGCTCTATGGCAGGCAAAAATTCTGGTTGAAGCCTTTCCTAGCTTGAAAATACCAATTATGGGAAACACTTCACCATGATTGTACTTTCTCTAATTCTGAATTATGCCATATCCTATGGCAGCCATTTAGTGACTGGTGTCCCCAGTACTCCCTCAAAATTCAAACTGTCCAAAAAGCTTTGCAACCCCCGGTTTAGTTGACCAACAAATGTACAGGTAACAAAGAAGACAATTCAGCAGAGAACTGCTATTTAATAAAAGAATAGCTCAATTTTTTAATATCTTAACAATTTTTAAAAAGAATAATCTCAGAATATAAATATCAAAATTTATTTCAATACATGTTAATACAATGAAAAGTTGGCTGCTGTTTAGGTAACAGCTCTAAACTGGGCTGAAAAAATAAGCTTTAGGTATGTGAGAATATTGCTAATTTATATGAGCGTTGGACATAATATAAAACAACTAATTTTGGCTCTCACTTCAAGACATATTCCATTTCCCCCCCAAAGTCCCTGTTTTCATTTGCCAACATTCAGCAGAAACTAACCATGTGACCAGCACAGGTAGATAAGACAAAATACAGTATTTATTGACAATAAATTAAAAAAACCCTCCTCTGCAGTAGCTTGCACACATTGACTGCAGCTGAGACATTGCTTATCCATAATCAATTAGAAGCAAAACAAAAGCAGTGGTTCCATGTGTCATTGAATATAACACTATATTCTTCTGAACCCCAAAATATGCATAGCCACAGTCAGTATCTTTATACAATTAGTGAAATCCCTTTAAGTTTAGTGAGACTTCTCTAGGTCTCTGGTCTGCTGCTTGCTCCTGGCCCCTCAAAGTCACAGAAATCAGCCCCAAAATTAGCCTTTTACTGTTTGCATCTAGCCATAATTGTCTTGTAGAGATGGAAGGGCCCACGAGGGTCATCTAGTCCAACCCCCTGCAATGCAGGAATCTTGCCCATCGCTGCACTCACAAAATTGCATTTGCACACATTTGCACAATCACGGGGGCTGTGGTCCTGCTCCCTCCTCCATGTGCCAGTATGGAGAAAGACTGAACGCACCTTGTGCCGCCTTTTGTTTATCAAAACAGCCGCTTGCAGAAATTATTTGAGCAAATTCTTCAAGGCAAGCCTTCCAAAACAGGCAGCGACGCAAAAATGCTTGTGTAGTATCCTTCTAAACAAATGAAGCTGTACAATGCAATCCTAGGTTCCTTCACGCAAAAGTAAATCATCCATTTACTTGCGCTTAACTCCCAAACAAATATGCATAGGATTGCAATCGTAGCCTTGAGTTAAATTGACTGGGTGAAAGTCAAGTTTGCCAAGGTAGTTCCATATTGTGCCAGCATAGGGAACTCACAATACACTTTAACAGTTCACAAGTCCTGTGTTGCCATGACTAGGCCAGCGTAAAGCAGAAAAATGGGAACGTTCGTTACTTATTGCAAATGGCGTCTCTCAACTTCTCATCTTCTTTCTTTGAGAGAAGGAAAGACATCCTGTCTGGAACTTTTGTCTGTAGCAATGTCCTGGGGGATGGGGAGTCCCCATCACATTCCTCGGAGGAATTAGAAGCACGCCGTGTGTCAGGAGAAGGGTGAGAGGGCCACATTGCTTTCGCAAGCTTGCTCAATGGTTTCAGAATGACAAGCCATTTTTTTGCTCTCGTTTCTGGGTACTTTGGCATAACAGTGGGGCGAATGTTTCCACAGGCAGAATCTGGGCTGGAGGGGGCAGGAGTAAGCTATGGCATAAAGTATGGGGGGCGGGTAATACAAATACAATAAACAAATAAATAATGACGCTCAATTTTGCTTCAAAAGTGCAAGGCAGAGCACCGTCCGGTGGCAAGCGGTCATCAAACCAGTTCAAAATGGTCCCTGCCCCGATGAGCCCCTTCCACCTTGGCATTATGTTTGCCAGTCATACTACTTGAGCAAATCCCAAGCTACATTTCTCTTCACCAATTGCCTCTAAGAGCATCCACTCCAAGGGGCGGGGGGCAGGGACGGCTGACTGGATCTCCAAATTTCATGGCGTAGTACTTCTGGGGAAAGCTTCCTTTCGGACCCACTGTAGTCATCAAGGTACAGCAGCTGTGCTCAAGGCACTGATACACACCTCACACAAGACAGTGAGATTTTAGCCTTGCTTCTACTTCTGTCTCCCACGTAATGGCCTCTCCTGCCAGGACCCATGGCTGAGCAGGAAAGGAGGGAGGGAGAAGACAGTGAAGAGGACAAGAAGTAAACAATAGGGAAGAAGATAGTAAAGTGAAAAAATACTGTTTTAATTAAGAGAGGCTAGAAAGGATAAAATGCCAGAAATTCAATAATGGGATGAAGATATAGGACATTCTTCACCAAACTGGTGCCCACTAGATGTTTTGGACTACAGTGCCAATCAGCCCCAGCCAAATTTTCCAAAGTTGATCACAGGTCCTTGTTCTAGAGAGTAGCTGGAGACAAACCCTCTCTGGTTGTATCCCTCCCATTGGACTGAGAATGTGGGCTCCCTTTGGTGGGTTTCTTCCAAGCCTTCTCTCCTAGGAGTCTGTGACCAGGGCCTGATCCTGCCTCTGCCACTCCACCGATGAGTTACCTTTGCTTTTGCACCAGCAAAAATGCTGCTGTGCTATTGCCCTTGCTCAGGATTGCTGGAGAATTTGAAATCCTGCATGTGGGCCTAGCCGGCTTCTGGCCTAATCACCTACTGTGTTAGGACCTCTGACCCACCAGTCTGCTTTCCTCAAACCACATCCCCCCTACCCTTCACCGGATGTCAGATGCTGCGGGGGGGGGGGGAGGAATTACATGGTTGCAAAGGAACAACTGGGAGCCTTAGCATGTGCTCCTAATTGCTCCTTGGTAAGCAAGGCTTGTCGGAGCCCAGCAGCTGATCGGTGCTTACAAGTGAGCCTCGCTGGCGCAGTCGATCCATGCCCAAAGCGGGGCTTGCTGTGAGCACCAATCAGGTGATTCACAGGCGAGTGATCCCACTCATCTGTCAAAGTCGCTTGTGGGGTGGGGCTATGCTTTGTGTTTGAGAGGGAGCTCAGAGGGGGTTTAAGTGATTTCCGCAATTGCTAATTGGTGCCTTACATACCTAAGTGATGTGGGGGCCTCGTTGGAAGAGAGGTTGTGACTGTTGGGAGACCACTGCGTTGGCAGGATCTCTGCTGAGGTAAGCTACCATCACTGCGATGTGGACTCTTTTTTTCCTGCTACTATTTCTTTAGATAAATTGTGCTTTATCTTAACAACCGTTTGGGTCTTGCAAGTTTTTTTGTTTTATTTTTAATGTACTGAAAAATCAGGATTGGGGGAAAATGGGGTTTGCTCTTTACCCCCACACTACAGTCCCGAGTTTAAAAGTCTCCTGCTGAGTTATCCAGACTACAACTGCCTCCCTCACTCTACTGGCACCAATGGCAACCCATACCTAATACAAATATGAGCTTTGGGGAGATTTTAAAAATCCACACACACACACCCCGCTGTGGGTCCCAATCCTGACCTTCACCCCCCTCCCCTCAGCAGCTGCTATATAGATAAGGGGTGGGTGGGGAAGAACAGCACCAAACTACACAATTAATGTAACGTATAGTTTGGGACCTTAAGCATAGCTGCCGAGAGCGCAAATAATGCCATTTAGTAACACTGCTCTAAGGTCCATCTTTGGCTGGGCCATCAAACTGACGTGTTCCTTCATTGCAGGGGGTTGGGCTAGATGACCCGCAGGGTCCTTTCCAACTCTACAATTCAAAAGCTGCAACTGGTTGCACAATTAGAGCCAACCCCTGTTCTTTATCTCCAGACAGACAGATTCATAGCACTGTTTAATATTGTTGTCCAGTTGAGCTAGTTGGCAGCATCCAACCGATAAACGGTCCCTGGAGAAGGGGGGGGAGGGGGGATGAGAGAAGAAAACGCATAGATTTAATTACTAAAACCTGTCCCAATGCGATCACTTATTACCTTTTAACAACTTTTCAACTGCTTTGTTACAAATGGCAGTACAGTCATACCTCGGGTTACAGATGCTTCAGGTTGTGTTTTTCGGGTTACGGACCTGCCGAAACCCGGAAGTACTGGAACGGGTTACTTTCGGGTTTCGGCAGTCGCGTATGCGCAGAAGCGCCAAATCGCAACATGCATCCTGCATGGATCACGTTCGCAACCCGAGCGTCCACTGTATTGGCTTCCAGCTCATTTCTGGGTCCAATTCATAAGAGTGCTGGTTATGGCTTTCAAAACCCAAAACTGCTGAAGACCAGACTACTTGAAAGGCTGTCTTCTCCTACCCGAGTCTGCCCCATATATTGAAATCAGGACAGTCTCTACTCTGCATTTTCAATTTCCGCAGTACAGCTGGTGAGGAGGAAGGAGTGTCTTTTTGGTGGCTGCACCCAGGCTCTGGAATTCCTTACTAAGGGAGATACTTTTACTTACTGGCTTTATTTTAATCAAGCCTTGGTGCTCTCTTTTCAATGTGCAACTCAGTTTATTACACTTCAATTCCTAATTTTTATCCCTTGTGTTTTGTTTTCTTTTAATTGTAACGTATAAAGTACTGGCAACTAATAACACATGACATTTTATTGTCCTGAATTAGATGAAACAGAACAGTTCTGCCAATCAAGGCCATGTTAATAAGCTGCATGATTTTATTTCTATACAATAATTTAATTGGAGACACACAGAAGCATAAAGGCTTTGGTTTACATAAGCATTCTCCCTAATGTCTATGTTTTGCTCAGGTTACAATTGTATTGTTTTCCCCAGTTTTGCATTTATTAGCATCCAAACATTCTGCAGCTGTGCTGAAAAGAAAACAACAACTGCTTTTTGTTTGATGCTAATGCAAATTATGATCTTGGAAAGCAATCAAGACTGTTTGATAACACAACTTAACAAGACTGTCTCTTTGAAAAACCACAGGGAACATAAAGGCAGCATATAAGAACGTGAACACTAATGCCTTAATTATGCCCTCTTTCAAATATCCTAACATTGCTTGATTACAGGATAAAAAGCAAGGTTCAACACAAGGTATGTTTCATTGAAATATCTTAAAATAAAACATCTGTTTCAGATTATGTTTTCTACATTTACTCTATTAAGTACACAGGTATACTGAAGATAGGATTCATACTGCCGCTGTCAAGAGATCCCAATACAGTATCACTATTTTGCAAGCTAAAATTACTCTGTTCTGAAAGGAAGAGGGGACGCTGCCACATACAATATGTTTTCAACATAATGAAAAAACAAGTGAAAAAGGATTGTGGCCAGTAATTACAGATGTATAAAAAGTAGCTTACCTGTATACCTCTTGGGAAATGCAGTCATAAAGTTCCTCAGCAGTAAATTTCGTATTATTGTGCATCTATGAAGGAGGGGGAAAAACACACTGAAATGTCTAGGAAGACTCGCCAGTCATGAAATGTGGATATTACCTGTTGGAAATTATTCATCGCTGTAAAAGAACTAAGGACTGCTTCAGATTATCTTTTTATTAAAGTCCTTAAAACAAGAGTTGTCACCTAGCCCCTTTGCCAAGTCAAGCCACAGTCCCTGCACTTTGCCAGCCTGGTGTGCAAAACCAGTGTGAAAAAAGTGGCATCTTTGGCAAAATAATTTGCTGGCAGTCTACTTTACAGGATATGAGATGCTGACCCATCACTCTAGAGCACTTATTGAGCAGTATGGTACCAATCAATGCCATTTATGATTGACTAGAGAAAGGGAAACAAGCTCATGGGTGAAAGAAATGGCAGCTGAAAGATATACTTATTGATGCAGACCAGCACAGCAGACAGCCATTAGTTCAATACACACAAGGCAACTCTTCCAAAGCAAACTTCTATTAATCTCTGTAGAGTCTACATTCCCATAATTTAAAGGCTAGCAAAGTCTGTTGGTGAGGTTCTTTGCCCAATTGCGTTAACTGCATTCCATGCCACAAAGCTGAAATTTGGTGGCCGACTAATAACTTGGAAGTCTGCATTTGTTTTCTCCTGCAAATGTTTTGGTCACCTTACTCATAAGAAGCTGCCTTGAATTATATCTCTTTATCCTAGCTCTAACCAATCAATCAATATGAAACAAGAAAGAAAATATATGGTGTTTTCCTGTGGCTTAATAACTGTGGACTCAGGCAGCAAATGCAGCTGCGTATTCAATAATGTGGTGGTGTCAAATTCACTCTAGAATGAAGCTGTAAAGAAGTTTAGAGAAAAACCAGCCAAGAGGAAAGATGTGGTGTTCTCACATATTCCTAAGAGGCTCTAAGCCACTTTTCTATGGTTACAGTTCTGGTTCAGTCTCTGGGGAACAGCATGCAATGATTAATCAGGCAGTGAAATATCAACCACCTTGAAAATGGAAGTCTCCCTTGCTTGACTCAAATGAAAATGTGCTTCTGTCTTGGTGAACTGAATCACTGAAATCATGGAACTACACTAGACCTCTAAAAGGAAACAACTTCTAATACAAAGCTATGTTATGGACAACATAAATGCATCCTGTTGCGTTGGTTGTTCATGCCAGTGAGAGAGTCTGCTAAGCAAAACTATGAGTGGCCATGGAGGAACCTTTCCACTCTTATTTCTCTTTACCATAAAAAGAAGGGGTAAGCATAGCATTGGGTGCCAAGCAAAAGCCCAGCTGCTGAGTGGAGGGTCACCCATGACAACATCAGCAGCTCATTGGCTGCCATAGTATCCAGGTGGCATTAAGTTCTACTAACAGAGCACTTTGCTCTCAATCTGAACTTGGAAGTTCCATCTCAGGTTTGTTGGCTGCTAAAATAGTAGGCTGGTTCAAACAGCCAGCAGCTCCAAGTGATGGTTTCTGGGAATGTGCTGCACCACTGTGGGCTGTGTGAGCTGGCCCAATGATTCTATAGTGGTTTCTTCCTATGCTGCTCAGTAAACACTGGGTGTCTGAGGTCACATAAGAAGTAGTCCCATGTGACCTTGGTCTTCCAACATTACAGAGTGGCAAAGAAAAGAGCCACAGTGCATCACTCTCATTCCTGGTTAGCAACAACTCTCAGGTTTATTATTGGTTTTCGAAAGCTCTGTGAGTATCCAGAAATAAGAATGAGTTGCTTGACTTACGGTTATTACGGACTAACAATATATACTGGAATGTGTAAATGCAGAGGCAGCCAGAAACATGTTTCTAGACTTGCAGGGAGCAAATCTACCCTGCTTCCAGGCTGGCTGACCAATGTATGTGAAGCAGCAGCAGGCTCAACTGACCTCTTTGGAGAGGCAACAGTCCTTGTCAGATGACGTGAAAGTTGTCTGAAGAATGTGGAGGGATATTTTTCTCGGCTGCCAGTTTAATCCGCCATCCCCATAGGAGCTGACTTGATTTAGACTGCTCTACAGGTTGATGTGATGTGAGCTATGGTCACAAAGTAAACTTACAAGGATTTTGCTTCCCAAATCGTGTGACAATACCTTAAGCATTTGGGGGACACTTCATGTTTCCCCTTTCAAGGAAGAAATTATTAGACTAGCCCAGTAATCAGTCTGCCCTGGACTATCTGCACACAAAATTTCGGGGTTTGGGCTCAGCATAAAGTACTCGTAACATCTACAAAATGCTTTAAAGGGGAAATAAAACCTACCTTATTATTAGTTAAAAAGCTATAGAGAGCCCAGACATCTTGAAAGCTACTGTTTGGCACTAAAACCCTGAAAAAGATAAGTACAAACAGTGGAAAACTCATTAAAGGATTTTAAACATGGATGACCCAATGACACAAGAAGTTCACATCATTGCTTATACCGCATGAATGAGGTTCTTATTTAGTTATTTATTTGTTGCCTTTTTTCCCTGATGGGGCTCAGGACAACAGCTTACAGATAAAAACAAGAACTGCTAAAAACATAGAAAACTGATCATTAAAATACACCGATAGAATTAAAGCTATATAAAATCAGTTTAAAACACGTGTTCTTAATTTGTACAGGGCAAGTCCTCTAAAAGACATCTGATGTTAGCCGCTCTGAGCCTGGCTTCAGCTGGGGAGGGCGGGATATAAATAAAAATTTATTATTATTATTATTATTATTAGCCCTGTGGACACAGAGTACACATGTTCCACAGGGCCTCTGTTAAAATATTCTCCCTGTAAATTCAAGCAGTAGGGGATTCAATTACTAAAATGTGCTCTGTTTGGGGCTTCCCTTAATATTGGTCCAGAAATTGCAACTAGTGCAGAATGCTGCAGCAAAGCTGTTGAAGGGGGAGCCCTATTGACAGCACATCGCACGTGCTACTGGGTCATGTTTAAGGGCTTGCCTTTGGCATAGAAAACCCTGAATAACTTGGGACCAGGATACCTTACTTTGCATGTTCCTGCCCATTCATGTCTACTCTCAGGAGAAACACTACTGAAGACATAAGAAGACCCCTGCCAGTTAGGCCAAAGGTTTATCCATCCTAGCATCTTGTTCTCACAGTGGCCAACCTGATGTATTACAAACAGGGTATGAGGATTAACAGGAAACCTCTGTTGTATTTCAGATCCAATGCCACAGCCTCATGACCATTATGGATCTGTGTGTATACACTTCGCAACATATCTTATCCTGTCCAAAATATTATTCTTGATCATATTGAATGGGCCGGAAATCCCAAGTTCACTCTCTACCTCCTCCCTATTTTTCTTCTTCTTTTTTGCACTCCACAGAAAACTTTGCTCCCAAGGCTTGTGGATAGCTTCCTGAAGCCTGGAGAGTGAGAGGGGTTGGTGCGCACTGACCCCTCTCGCTCTCCAGGCTTCAACGAAAACCTGCATTCGCCCCATAGGACGCACACACACTTCCCCTTCATTTTTGGAGGGAAAAAAGTGCGTCCTATAGGGCGAAAAATACGGTAATCACAAGCTGAAAGTACCAAGAAACTTATTTCAACACAGTGGCTCCATCAAACAGCTGTGAAGACATGAGATTACACATCAGAGTAACATACAGGCAATTTCCCACTTATGCACTTTTGACTTGTGTGCAACCGTGTACACCTGCAGTGCTGGGAAATAAATAAATATTTCAATTTCAAGGGCAAAAACAATCTGGAAAAGAGCACAAAAACTGCAAAAATGGTAGGAAAAGAATGGGGGGGGGGAGATGGCTTGTAAGTGCTCATGGTTTTTAAAAGTTTTTCAAGGGTTTGCAGACGTTTAGAGGGTTTTTCACAGGTTTTTAGATGGTGTTCCCCACTATTCACAATTTCACGGTTATCTGGGGACGTAACCCCCACGTAAGTGGGAGTCACCTGCACTCCATTCAGCTCACATAAACTTACTGCCGAATTCCTGCTAGGATTTCGTTCACTGCCGCCATTAACTTCTGCAGACCGACGAAAGCGTCTTTGAACGAGTCCATATTCTGAGTGGTGGTAGCCGTATTGAGGTCCAGCTTCTGGAAAAGTTCTAGACTAAGAAAAATAAAAGAATGAATTTTAAAACAGGCAATGAACTACCTATTGTCCTAGACAGGAATGGGGTGGGGAGGCAAGGATGGAAAGAGAGAGGAAAAAAACCCAGACAGACAGAATCAGAGGCAGGAAATCCTATTCTATGTATACAGATTCTTTTTCAAAAGAGCTCACTGAAGCAAAGGCATTCTGTCTAATCCGATTCATAAATTCATAGTGAACAAGGGTATAGCTGCTGTGATAATAGGACTATTTCCTCAGAAAGACACACAATCTTTTGCATTAGGTTTCCATTGCAGAAGTTTTTAAACAACTACTGAGCTGTTTAAAATTCTCCTTCAGATGCATGCGTTGCCATCTTCCAGTTTGCACTAACTTTTTTAAAAAAAAACTTTTTGCCATCCAACCTTGTGGTAGACTGAAGCCCACTTCACAAACTATGTTTTTACAGTTTTCATTAAGGGCTTGTGCACACATGTATTTGCAGTGACTGTATCAGATGACGACATGCATATATGAAGGAGCCATCGCTGATGAACCAGTTCAGGCAGAACTTCCAGATAATCTCTTCTCTTCTCTTCATTTTCTGGACAGTGGATTAAATTCACAAATTAGGCTGCCAGTCATCAAGCAGCATACAAGCACATCTGCACTAACCCTAGGATGCTTTACATTTTGCCAAAATAAGACAACCTTGATTTCAAGAAGAACACTCTCTTTCAGCTTTTATTACCTGAATAGGTTTATTGTGTTCCAGACGCTTTCAAGGACAGACCAGATTTCCACATGCCTGTTTCCTTGGGCTAAAGGCTTAGGCGACAAGGACGCATCTACATCCTGAGTGTGCTGGGTCAAAGCTCCATCTTCCATTTGTTCACAAGCAGTAGTTCCTGAAGTAGATTTGAGGGTGTCTGGAGTATTTGGTCCAGAACCTGGCTGAATATTATGAAAATATAGCAATCAAGCAGTAAATACACTGGATCTGATGTGCTAAAGCTGCAAGCTACCCGATTTTTTAAAGGAATGACACACTAAGACTAATATAACCACTGTAAAAATGAGATTTACTTCAAATCATTTCACTGACTTAAAGACATTTATATACCACCCTTCATACTTTGACCCAAAGTATTTCACAAGAACATCAGTGCAGGGGCCCTCTAATTTTTGACATTACTTTTTAGGGGGGAAACTTAGTCTTATACATGGAAAAATACGGTACCTAAACTTTTTAATCTCACTTTTCCCTGTAAAAAACCTCAAGTGGTTTATAACAATGCAGTTAATAATAAGCTCAATAAAAAAGCAAGCAGCATTTTCTCCTATCCTCACTCCTGGCTTTCAACTCCTCCCAGGCAGGGGCTGACCCAAGAGTCCAGCAGACTCGCCCACCCTTATCCATTTCCCTGCAAGAAAAGGATAAAAGCAAACACATTTTGTTCAAAAGTTACATCTCAGATTTATTTTGCCCATCTGTTCCACAGATGACATTGAAAGTGTATTTCAAGTTGCCATTAAAAAGAAGTTTTCTAACACAAGTAGCTTTTAACCCTGGATGACGATGATGATAAATAAGCAACAGCAACATTGCTGCTGCAATCGGATACATGCATGTGCATGTAGAATGACTTCTGTCAAAACTAAGCAGCTCTTACCTTGTCAAGCATCTTGAGCAGTTTATTCACCTGAGCTAAAGCCTTGGGAAGGATACCATCATATTCTGATCTTGAGCTGAACTCCTCCAACAGCATTTTAGATTCCTGGAGCACCTCATTCACTGTTGAGGGTTTAACCACAGAAGCTGAGAGAGAGAGAGAGAGAGAGAGAGAGAGAGAGAGAGATGTTAATGAGGAAAAAATTGAAAGAGGACAGGAAACAAAATACAACCATACCATAAGTAATCCTCAAATACAACCCAGTATATTTGCAATTTGAACTATTCAGGAACAACAACTGATAAGCAGTGCATTCAAAGGGTGCTATCATCTTGCTACCATCTACCACTGACACACATCTCCTGAAGATCCTGGATCTAGCAGGGACTCACTACAATTCTACATGACTTGGGAGGTCACCAAAACCTTCTAGCATCACAGAACAACAGAAGGGAATATGCTGGTGGTCAATATGTACATATTTTCAATGGACCAACTACAGGGTGCTTTTGGGAACCTCAAAATACTTTTGGCATCATATAGGTGCACAAAAACTATTGGGTGCATAGATTAGCCACCCCTGCTCTACACTGAACTCAAGAGACTTAGTTTTGAGTAAACATGTTTAAGACTGCACTTCTGTTCTATGGCTTATACAAATGAATCCTATTATATTTTAGTAGTTTGGGAGTGCTTGGGATTGCTAGAAACCTGTATCATAGCTCTGAAGGTTCCTTGGAGGAAGACATGATAAACACATTTGAGGTTTTCAGTACTGATATGCCCACTGGCGCAGGTTTTGGGATTTCAAATAGTTTCAAGGGTTAACATTTTCTTACCTTTACAGAGATGTTCATATAGATATTCAATGGTTGAAAGAAAGTTTCTTGATATAACCATTCCAAAAACAGCCACAAAGTGTTTTTTGTAGCACTCCAACACCTTTGCTAATGTCCAGGGCGGGTGATGATACACTACCTAAAAAAAGGGGGGGGGAGTTCAAATATTAATCTCTGATATAATTTAGTGGTCAGGTTTCCATTTATTGAAGTACGAGTTATGTCAGACCTTATTGCTGATCACAGAGTTTCTGCAAGGATGGGAGAACTGGTGCATCAAGATGATACATATTTGATATCTGGTCAGCTTCACTGACAATAACCCATTAATGTGGTCTCCTGTATACTAACATATTTTCTCCTTCTCAATCATTTGGTGGCTTTTGATACCATTGGTCACTGTGTCTTGCTGGACTGGCTCTCTGGGATGGGCACTAGGGGCACTGTTTTACAGTGATTCTACTCCTACCTACAGTGCTGTGTCCAGAAAATAGAACGGAGAAATTAGGTCTCAGCCCCATGATCCTTGTAGTTTAGTGTGTCGCAGGGCATGATCCTCTCACCAATGCTGTTTAACATCTATACGAAACCACTGCAAGTGTTCATTAGTTTTGGGGTGAAGCGTTATCAGTTCACTGATGATACGCAGCTCTACTTTTCCATAACGTCCGAGTCAGGGAAAGCAAAGTATGGTCTGGAATGCTGTCTGGATGCGGCGGTAGGTTGGCCAATGGCCAATAAACTGAGCTTACACCATGAGAAAACGGAGGCGCTGTGGGTAAGTGGTTCCCGTGTCTGGGAGACTGGCCAGTTGCCTGTTCTGAATGGGGTTGCACTCCCTCTGAAATTACAGGTTCAGAGTTTGGAGGTGCTCCTGGGTCCACCTTTGTCACTGAAGTCTCAGGTAGCCTCAGTGGCTAGAAATGCCTTTTACAGCTATGGCCAGTAAGTAAACTACAGCCATTCTTGAAGAGAGATAGTCAGTGCACTGGTGACCTCAAGACTCGATCACTGCAATGTACTCTATGTACTCTATCCTCGAGCCTGGCACAGAGGCTCTGGTTGGTGAAAAACACTAGGGCTAGACTGCTGATAGGGGCAGGCTATCACCTGGTCATGCTGTGCAGATGCCTGATGATTGTCTTCCAAAGCAACTATTCTATTCCGAACTTAAAAATGGAAAGCGTAATGCTGGTGGTCAACAAAAGGTTTAAAGACTCTCTCAAGGCAAATCTTAAAAAATGTAGTATAAACACTGACAACTGGGAAACACTGGCCTGTGAGCGCTCCAGTTGGAGAACAGCCTTTACCAAAGGTGTCATGGGCTTTGAAGACACTCGAACTCAGGACACAAGGGAGAAACGTGCTAAGAGGAAGGCACAATTGGCAAATCCACACCATGATCAACTCCCACCCGGAAACCTATGTCCCCACTGTGGAAGGACGTGTGGATCCATAATTGGCCTCCAGAATCACTTATGGACTCATTGTTAAAACCGTGTTTATGGAAGACAATCTTACTTGGCTTTGAGTGATCGCCAAAGAAGAAGAAGAAGCTACAGGGCCAAGTTAAAAATTCTTGTATTAATTTACAAGGCTTTTAACAACTTGGGTCCGACAAACATTGAGGACTGCCTGGTTCATTGCATTCCTGCCTGATCAATCAGATCTTCTGGGAAGCTACTGTTAGTGGTCCTCCAGAGTTCAGTCGCATGGCTCTTTATCTACCAAGAGCCAAATGTTCAATACTGTGGTCTCAATTTTATGGAACTCCCTTCCGGTTGAGGTCCAGCACTGGCAGAATACTATTTTATTACTGCGGGCATTTTTAATGAATTCTGGTTTTATAGTTTTTAACTGATTTTTATCTTTCTTGTACCAAGTTACTTGCGCATCACTTAGACACGATTGTAATTAAGCAGCAAATAAATTGTCAAAATACATAAATAAAATATGTACAATTTCTGAAAACTGTGGAATCTATGTAAGAAATTCATTGTGTGAGGCAGCCACTGGCATGGTAGTCAGCAATGAGACTTCAGCATAAGAGAAGTGGATAGGTTTAAGGAACAGCACGTTCACTGTGACTGTGCAAGCTCTGAACCAAAGGACTTCAAAGTGGGCTCAGACATTCTACAAACATTTATGAAGAGTGTATTCCGAAACTTGCTCAAATTTGCAAAGTTTCTTCTTAAGCAGTTATTTGACGCACCTAATCTGGCCCACAAGCTAGAGGCTCTACATCCCTGCTTTAAAAGCATGTAAGAATACTTGAAGGTAATCACCTCTTCCCAAAGGTCTCCAAAAGCAATCTTCATTTCAGTTTCCAGTATACAAGATAAAACTTCTTGCAAGCTTTCTTTAATGTCATCAACAATCGTTGGAACAGGATCAGCAAATTTATCCCCAGCCTTCTGGGTTATCATATCTGTTAAGCAAGCACAATGGATCTTAAATTCCTTGTTCACTTGAGGCTATAAAAGATCAAAACATTAACAATTAAGTCCCATTAATAGTCTGCTTAAAATTTCACTGCCATTTGCTTGCTTCAAAAGCCCTCCCTTTCCTATTTTAGAAACTGTATCCATTTCCAGAGGGGTAGTTATGTCAGTCTCTTGCAGAAATAAAACAATGAAGAGTCTTGTGGCACCTTAAAAACTAACTTTTTATTTTTTAAAAATGGCATATGTTTTCATGGACTATGGTCCACTTCATCAAATGCATGAAACGCTATCCCGCTCAACATGTAGCATATTAAACACAGGTATTTTGAGTTGCAGGTACATACGGTTTCTAACGTGTTGGCAAATCTTGCTACTATGAAGAAGGCAGGGCCATAACTGGGTGGAATCTCCCTCAACCAAAGCTAAACAGTCTGCACTGATGATCATGGCCCTGACCATGAGGCAAGGAGGAGGAAGAATCACCCATCTCGGGGCAACCTCTGCCACTGAGAGAAATGGCTCGTTTTCAGTTCTCTTGGGGCTGGATTTCAAGTGCACTAGTGGAATTAAAATGGCTTCTACCACTACAAATGAAGCACTGCCACAACATGGAGGGCACAGAGAGGGTCACATGTTCCAGCGTCTATAGCAGCCTTTCTCAACACTGGGTCCCCAGGTGTTGTTGAACTACAACTCCCATCATCCTTGACCACTGGTCCTGCTAGGTAGGGATGATGGGAGTTGTAGTCCAACAACACCTGGGGCCTCAATGTTGGGAAAGTGTTAGAATTCACTACACTTAAGCGATCTCTGATGCTCACTCAATTGACTATTGGCAGTCACCTCAAAAGGAGATTCCCCAAGTTCCCTGAAGAGTTTAATCAGAATCTTATTTCATCCAATATCTACCTGCTCATTTTAACTGGCCCGATAAAGAACTGTTGTCTCTTTTCTATGTAGTTCTATAGTTGAGAATGGCCAACATATCCTCTCCTTTAATCTTATAAAAGTTTCTATGTGGCGCAGTAATAATAGAAATTATTATTATTATTTTATTATTTTTATGCCACTAATCTGTGTGGGTCACCCCAGCCACTCTGGGCAGCTTCCAACAAAATATTAAAACACAAAAAACCCTCAAATATTAAAAACCTCCCTATTAAAAACAACTTTCAGATGTCTTAGATGTTTATTTCCTTGACAACTGATCAGAGGGCATTCCACAGGGTGGGCGCTACTACTGGGAAGGATCTTATGCCAATAAAATTCAGTATTTCAGTCCTTCATACATCAGCTTAGCATAATTTATCTGTTAGAAGATTATTAGAACTATATGAAATATTGAAAGTTATTGGAAATGTTTGTCGTTGTCAGTCAGGTTCTCAAAGAGAATAAAAATGTTTGCAAACTACTATTTATCAGCTTTAGGCTGGGTGGCATTCAACTAAGTTTTACTCCGGATAGACCCACTGAAAAAAATGAACACAACCAAGGTAGGTCAATTCATTTCAACAGGTCTACTGTGAGTAAAATCTAGCTGACTACCACCCTCGTTTTCTGAAAATAAGCTCAGTTCAATTCAGTGGGTCTTGCTTCTGAGCAGATGTGCGGTATTATTTAACTTGTGTGGCCATTATGGTAATCCTAATGAATCAAGAAAAACAAACCTCTTTCCGATTGGGACTGGCCGCTAGAAGCATCTTGAGTCAGCATGATGGTGTCTCTAGTCAGCTTCTGGAGTGCAGTAACAAAGTCTGCTTTGCTAAGTGCCTTAACTTCACTGACAAGGGCTTTGCTGCACAGGTTTTTATCATCCCTATGAAAATAAAATTGTTTTCATTTTGCATTACTTGAGTGGTAAGTAGGACAGATTATACCTTCTTCCATGGCAAAAGAGCCAACATCTGGTCCAATTCATTTATCTATGTCTGTTTAGAGCTATTTTAAAATATAACTTCTACAAAACTAGCATAGCAAAAATCTTGTTTTCAAAGATAGGCATTTTTTTTACATTCTAGTGGAGAGACTTGGCTTTCCAGACAGATTCCACAGAATTCGTACATGAGCAGTTCTCAGCTATAGCCAGGCTCTGTTCTGAATACCTTTCATTTGCACGATTTGACTGCTTCTTCCCTCATTGATTGATTGTTCTCACCAACCCTTTCTAAAAACAGGATGCAAACTTCATGGATTCGTGTTATGAAAAGAAACATCATCTTCAGTTAAGCAGGGAATGCAAAATTCAATAGCATAGACAGAAGAAATGAGGCCTTAGGGAGAACCTCAAGGACTCAGATTTACATAATCACAAACACTTTTTTTAAAAACAATGGTATGTAGCTGGGAATATCTTTTCTGCATTTTTTTGTTTTTAAAATTACAGCATAATGGTTGTGGGTTCTTATCAAATTTAGCTCTCTAGTTGGACAGAACTTACGTCATCAGTACAATTTCAGCTTGAGGAAAGAGGTTCTGATACTGCAGGCAGCACTGCAACACACGGTCATCATTGTTCTCAACACAGGAACCACCTGTAAATTTGGCAAAAGCGAGTTAGCATATCGTGCTTTAACAGAACTTGAATGAATAGCGTTTACACATCATTGTTAAAGCAGGCAAAGGAGACACCTGGCGGCTCTCACTTAATAATAATAATAATAATAAATTTTATTTATATCCCGCCCTCCCCAGCCGAAGCCGGGCTCAGGGCGGCTAACAACAATAAAACAGTACAAAGTACAGCATAAACAACAGTCTAAAATCATTCATTATAAAATTAATTAATTCAAGCCACTGGCAACCATTGGGCCAGAGCTCCGCGAAGATTGCCGAGGGAGGGAGTCAGGCTGTGCCCTGGCCAAAGGCCTGGTGGAACAGCTCTGTCTTGCAGGCCCTGCGGAAAGATGTCAAGTCCCGCAGGGCCCTGGTCTCTTGTGACAGAGTGTTCCACCAGATCGGAGCCACAGCCGAAAAAGCCCTGGCTCTAGTTGAGGCCAGCCTAACCTCTCTGTGGCCTGGGACCTTCAAGATGTTTTTATTCGAAGACCGTAAGTTTCTCTGTGGGGCATACCAGGAGAGGCGGTCCCGTAGGACTTACTTGCCTTCGAAGCACAGGCAATATATTTAACTTGCTCTGGAAATGTAGGCTATGTTCAAATGCTACACAATTCCCTCCACAGAAGATTTTTGGGTCTGTGAGAGGAGGAAACAGCAGTCCCATTGCACCAGTGAAACTATTCGCATGGAGCATTGGACACAAACCTTTATGTCATCCAATCACATTAAGCAACTTGCAGCCCAAAGATTTCCAGGAGAGAATAAAACCAAGTGATTTAAAAAAAAGACAGCATATAAACAGTAGTTCCAAACAGTATCACCACAGTATTTTCAAAGGTTCTTCCATCCACAAAAGATGTCAACTGTCTTCTTAACCAGGCTACAGGGTGAATTCTGCTAGAATCCACCAGCTCTGTCACAACTTACGTGTTTGCTGAGAAGCAAGTTGCATAGATTGACCCCACAACCTTGGATCTTGGTTCTTCAGGCAAGTGTAGATGAAGTGAACTGCAGGGATTGCTTTTTGCCCAACCTTTGCCAATATTTTCCCTCTTTTTAAGTTATCCAGTTCTTGCAAAACGACCCAGGGAATGACAAGCACAAATCTGCCAACTCCTAAACAGGAGAAAAATAGCTTATGTGTTATTAATTGATGGTAGTTCTTCAAAATGCTGTACATCTTTTAACTGTGATTAAAAAACTAATTCAGCTCGCTGTTGGATATTCTGCCAGTGGATCTGCATAGCACTGACCACATTTAACAGAATCAGGACGTATGTATCTGATAGGGAAAGTGTAGCCTTTGGGCAAGGTAAAATTTGATCTGTATTTTCCACAGCTGGGGCTCCCGATGAGATTTGCTTTTTCTCTTTCCCACCTCCTCTGGTACTGTACCTAAATCTTGTGCCTGGCAAAGGCATGAGCCAAAAGGTTCATCCTGTGACTCTCAGTCAAAGGTGAACAGCCAGAGCACAAGATGTTGGCCAATTTGTTGTAAGATGGAGTGGGCCAATGTTCTGGTGGGAAAGGAGAGCATAGCTGCTGGTTGGGTACAACCACCTGAGTCTGTGAAGACCTTCAGAGACGCCTTGAGTGTGAGGTTGATGTTTGTATCTGCCACCAATGCTGACTGGTTATTTATCAGGAGCTGAGGTTGTGCAATACTGTGCATGCTACATTTATGTAGTTGTGAGTGAATGGACGAAAGTAGTTTTCTACTCCACCAAGGTGAGAGCCTATTCAGGTTTAAAAGCAGATCCTTCTCAGGTGTGAGAGGTGAGTATTTGATAGTCTAGTGGGTATGGGGCATGATACCACTAGTGCTTCAGAGATGGCGATAGTCTCTTACATGTGTATGTTTGGCTGTGAATCTCATGTGGGCTGTAATATTGTTGTGTATAATTTTATGAGATTTATGTGAGTGGTTGGTTGACAGAGATGTTTGAGGCAATTGATTACTGTCATGGTCATACAGAAAGGATGGCAAGTGAGTCTGGGTGAGTGGCAGAACGTGTGTTACTTTGGTTGAAAGTTTGCACTATAGTGCCTCGTAATGCACTCTGCCTTTATGCTGATATTGTGCTTCATATATTGATTTTGTTTATGTATTTGTTTCATTTTTGTGGAAATCATTTGGCATGTAATATGTTTATATACATTTATGTATTCTAAACCACGTCAAGATTTTCATATAGTAAGTAGTTTATAAATGGAAACGGAATTAATAAATCCACACACACCTGGGATATCTGTATTCTTCAAAGACTTGATGAATTCCAGATGGCTGATCATTATATTAGTATCAATCACAATCAAACTATTCAGGCCAGAAAGAGTTCCTGTTACAAAAGAAGAAACACACAGAGAGAAATTCTGTTATTTGGATTCTGTACTGATTTATTCCCCTGTTTATTGCCTTGTTATGGAAAAGAAATCAAAAATACTTGATGCATATAAACTTACTAGCAGACATATTTGATTCATCATCTGGAAGATCTATCTCCATGTTGGTCAGCTCTCCACAAGTCTGAACCACAGGCAAAGCCATCGTTTTGTCAATGCGAGCAGCATGCAGTTCTTCTACAATCTGCATCTATGGAAAAGAGCAATATAAACTTGAAATCAAGGCTGGCACTGGGAGTTCACGTCACTGGGCACCAACTAAGGTTCACACCCCACTCCCAGAATTACACCCTCTTGCATATTCCTTGGCCACTGAGTATGCTCAGTCCTTGAGGGTTATGTTTGGGTTCCTTCTCTTGGTTATTGTTGTTCCTGGGACTTTTTTTTTTTAACATGGGGTTTCCCCAAGTCTGATGACCCTGCATTTTTGGATGGGGCCATTTTGGCTGCATGAGGATTCATGCTTAGAGAGTGAATCATAGAATTGTAAAGTTGGAAGGGACCACGAGGGTCATGTAGTCCAACCCCCCGCAATACAGGAATCTTTTTGGCCAACATGGGGCATGAACCCACAACCCTAAGATTAAGAGTACCATGCTCTACCGACTGAGCTTTGTAATTATTATATAGCCCAGACCTGCTTGTGCTTCTTGACAAGTTATGGAGCCAATCGTAAAGCAAAAGGCAATGTGTGTGGTGCAAGAATCGCAGCTAGGGAATGTTTTCTTTTCTTTTTTTTACAGAAGTAAGTGTAATGCCTCGTATTTTTTTCCCCATGTAACATTTTTACAAATCCATTTCATTTGTTGAGGCATTAGGGGGAGAAGAAAGAAAAAAAAAAGAAAGGAAGGAAAAAGAAAGGGGGAGTGGGGGGAGGGAAGATGGGTGGGGGTGGGGTCGGGTGGCGATGTTTCTATTATGCTTAATGTATGTAGAGTTTGGTGTCAGCGTTACTTGTGTTCCTTTGGTGGTGAGAGAGGTTGGGGTTGGCCTAGGGCGTGATTGGCTGTGGTGATCTTTGTTTTCGTGTGTGAGTGAGGTGGGTGGGTGTTTTGGATCAGGTTAGCCATATTGATTTGTATGCTGTTGGTGGATTATTGTCATTGTCTTGTTGGGCTGTGTATGTGATAAAGGGGAGCCATACCGGGGTGAAGGTGTCTTCTTCTGTTTGTCCCCATGTCAGTTTCAGTTTATTAGTTAATTTTTCTAGTAGGGCTGTTTCCCATACTATTTGGTACCATTGGTCCATGCTTACTCCTGACAGGTCTCTCCAGTGTCTGGTTATGGTGTTTCTGGCTGCTGAAAGTAGGTGGGTTATGAGTTCTTTGTGGTGTAAATGGGCATTGTTGTCTTGGAAGATGTTTAGTAGGGCCAATTCTGGGGTGATATCTAATACTTGCTTAGTTATTTTACATATTTCTCGTATGGCTGTTGTCCAGAATAGTTGGATTTTGGGACACTCTCACCACATGTGGAGGTATGTGCCTGTGGAGGTGCACCCTCTCCAGCATTTTGGTGAGGTTCCTGGGCGTATTAGCGCTAATTTCCTTGGTGTTAGGTACCACCTGTAGGTGAGTTTCAGTGTGAGTTCTTTTCTTTTCATTGATATGGATTTAAAGGGGGGGTTAGACCACATTCTGGTCCATTGAGTGGGGTTAATCTCATAGCCTATGTCATTCTCCCATTGTTTTTGATTGCGTCTAGGGGTTTGTGGCATTTTGGAGTAGTATTTTGTATATTGCGGATACCGTCCCTTTACCGTTTCCCTTTGTTGTTAGGAGGAGGTTTTCGAAGGTTGTCAGGGGCCTAGTTGCTGCTAATTTTACTGTTGGGTTGTTTAAGAGGGCATGTAGTTGGTGTTGTGTTAACCAGGGCATTTGGGTGTCGTCTAGTTTGTCTTGTATTTCTTGTGTTGCAGCTAGGGAATGTTAAAGTGAACCTGCTAGGTTACATAACCACTAACCTCTTGGTCTGTGTCAGTACTTTCAGTAGCTTCACAGGAAGAAGAGTGGCATGAGGCTTCAGAGCTCTGTAACAAAAATCACCTCAAGTATCTGTACTGTATAAAAGCTTTGCACTAAAGAGAAAGCCCGAGTAAATATTATTGTGAGATGGAAGTGATTTCAAGAGGGGAGGAGGAGGGAGAGTGCAAGACGGCCATACACCACAACGGATTTGTGCACACATGCGCACACGCATGCACACACAGTTTTTAGAGAACACAAAAAAGGCTAAAGAAAATTTCACGAGGCTTAGAAATGAACAGGTTACTTCCTTGTAACCATAGTTCTTTGAGTGGTTATCTGAGCAGCAACATACACCGAATTTGTCTATGCAGAACACTATTTCAGAAACTTCTTGGGTTTAGCTGAACCTGTGGCCCCTGCCCCTGAGCAGCAAACCCTTGTTCAGGGTCAAGGCCAAGACCCTCTCCTCAGAGACACTGCAAGTGAGGAAGAAGGGCAAGTTTTGTGGCTGCACAGATGTCCCACTCGAAGGACTATGGCTGCATGTGAGCAATTGGCTCTTCTTCATGGTACAGTCACACACACAGTAGAGTAACAAGCTAGCAAACCAGGAGGTGGAAGAGCGCATATCCCCAAAAGGTTATGTGACAGGTGCCACAGTCATAAGATTATAAATTTGTGACCCCTTGACGGGGGCCTAAAACTGTACTGGCACATGAGAAGATACAACGTCCTTGGCACAGAGGGCAGGAGCTGACAGCACCTGACAACACAATTGCAGATTGTGAGTCAAATGTAGAGAAGCTCCAGGGAGGCGTGGTTGAAAGGTGAGAGCAAATCCAGCAAGCAAATGCCATGAGGCGGCCCTTAGAATTCAAAGTGATCTTCATAGAATGGTCTAGTAAGGATCAACCCTAGCGTTATAACTATTTTACAGCCTCATGTTCCTGAAGCTGTTAGACGAACCTTTGCCTGAAAGCAAAGGAATGAACTGTCATTTCCAAATCTTTTGAAAAAAGGTCACCCCAAAAATCAATAATCTGACTTTTGTATTTGTAACTGTATAATGTATTAGGTAATAAGCATAACATGTATTACAACACAGGAAAATAGAGCTTGCAAATTTTCTAATACTTGTACAATGTTTTGTACATTGTACATCACTTCTTATTGCTTAAAATAAATTGAGGTTGCAGTTTGCCTTTGTTTCTGCTGCAAGCATCGTAAGGTTCCTACATCACTTGGATTGCATGTTCTGCACACTGATTACTTCTTGGTATCTGGAGTAGCCCACAGTCTATATCCTCAAAGTTCACCTTTTCTGAGAGGTCTTTGGGTTAACTGATTTAATTCTCATTCCCCGACTACAGCAATGCACAAGTACATGCAATTTCCACAATCATCCTTTGATACTATTGTTTTTAACACTGTAAGATTTAAGATCCTTCAGGGTCTTTCTATCAAGAGCAGGGGTCAACAACGTGCAGCCCATGAAGACCGTTTTACTGGCCCACGAGCTGCCCCCGAACTGAGCCACCCGGTGAGTCCCCCACACGCTGGGCTAAAGCGGCGCAGCACAGCGCGGGAACTTGCCAAGCGGCCCCGGAAATCACGTCTGCGCATGTGCAGATACCAGAAATCGTGTCTGCGCATGTCCAGACACCGAAAATCACTTCTGCACAGGTGCGATTTTCAGCATCTGGGCATGTGCAGAAGCGATTTCCGGTGCTGCAGACATGATTTCCGGCGTTGCACTGCGCCAGTCCGACCCATGGACGATCTCTGTGGGAGTGATCCAGCCCATGGCCAGTAAACCTTGCCGACCCCTGATCAAGAGCTACCTTTTTTGTTTATGAAGTGAAGTAACACACCACATACATTGATGGCAATGACTGTTTTCAGATGCGATCAAAGCTTTTGCTTCAGTTGTGATTTAAATCCGAGTTTAGGGTTCTGTCCAAACCCTAAACTGCACATAATCTTAATTACAGTTCGTGGAATCAAACCCACTTCATAAGCTATGGTTTGAATGGCCAGATGTGCAGGTTTGGATGGCATAGCAAGTTGTGATTAAGCAAAAGCATCTGAACCCTTGTTTATGGCAGCTCTGAAGGAGATAGGAGAAGGAGGGAGGTGCAAATTCAAGGGGCTCACTCTTATAATGCTAAAATATGGTTTAAGAGTTATCTGAGAATCATTCCAGTGTCTAAATTAAATAAGCTATTTGCTGGGGAAGTTATAAAAGCCACCACTATTGTTGCTGCACAAAGCAAAACTTCCACCTCAATTCTCATAGCAAACTTTTAACAGCTTTACCTGACTCATCTGAAATGCTGCAGGCTCAAATCTATCCCCTTGGGTCCTTGCATTACCAACATTCTTGTGGGATTCATGATGAAATTGTTCTTTCTGTTTATATTCTCTCTGGTGATATAGTTCACGCAAGTGGTGCAAGGGTACACGTTTCATTCCTTTGTCAGTTTTGCGAGGTAGTTCTAATGAAGCATGTTTGGCTCCTTCAGGAGTGTGCACAGAGGATTGCCAAGACGGTAGTTTAGTACCTGATAAGCTAAAGGATGAAAAGGTGGGGTGTGACTTTTTTGAAGTGTTCTGTGAAGTTTCCTTGAACTCCAGCACACGTTTTACAGTTTCTTTTAATTTGGCACATTCTGCCTCAACCTTCTTTTTCTTCTTTCTGCTGTTAAGAATCCTCAAATCCTGCAATTCCCTTTTCCCTCTTTTCGCATCAGGATCACTGCACATCTCTTTGTTTGAGCCCTCCTTCCGAGGGAAGGCTGCTGCAGAATCCAAACTGCTTGTCTTTCCTCCACGTTCAGCTTTATTTTTAAAATGCATAGTGACCTTTTCACGCTCTTCAATAGGCCTTATAGTACCACAGACAAGATGGATATCTTTGGAAGCCTCTTTTTGGATAACTTTAGTAGTATCTTTGAGATCCAGACTCTTTTTTCTTTTCGTGTATCCAGCACTATCATCTGACCTGTGGAAGGATCAGCAAGAGAAAACTATTACTGTACAAAGAAATTTGACAGTGCAAGTTTCTTACAGAAACAGTGCAGTTTCTTACAGAACAAACTCAGGGTTAAGCTCAATGGAAAAATGTTGAAAGAGAATTAGATTATTACTTGTGTACTAGAAAATGTGGCAGACCATATAAAAAGTTTAAACTTATTTTTATACCAGGTTCAAGTAGAGAAGCTGATCCTTCTCCACCTTTAATTCTGAGCAAAACAAACAGCAGCCATGAATAACTATGGGCATCCCCATCCATTTCAAGCAGTAAATACAGGCAGCTTTTAATGTGATGAGGAAGATCATTGCAATGCAGATGAAGATCTGCAATCAGATGTTTACCTCCATCAGCCAAAGGCATAGTGTGGAGGGTGATGTGGCTCTGGGACCAATTTTGCGCCCCCAAAGCAGGCTCCTTCATCGGAGCCTGGCTCTGCGCCAGAAGGAGCCTTGGCTGCGGCGCTTGTGCCTGGCACAGCTCCACCCCCAGGTCAAGCCTGACTCAGGGGAGGAGAGCAGGTGAGTGGATGGCAGCGCTGCCGCCCACCCTCCTCGGCTGCGGCGCAACTTGCACCCGGCGGCAGCAGCAGCAGTTCTGCCACCAGGTCACTTCTGGCCCAGCAGCAGAGAGGAGCCCTCCTTGGCCACGGTGAGGTGGAAGGTGTTGGGGTTTCAGTTCCCACCAGCTGCGAGCAGGCAGCTACATTGTTGACATCATGTGATGTCTCTGAGGTGAGACAGGAAGTCTCTGCCAGTTCTCATTGTAACCGGGGAGTTACTGTGAGTTACTTTTGCTTCTGAGTCGAAGCTTGAGTCGAGTTAGAGACTCTTGTGTTATGTTGCTCAGGAGAGCAGACATGCTCGTACAGTCTTAAAGTAGCTGAGTAGACTACAGACTGTCTCTTTCTTCTGTGATGGATTGGCAGAAGAATGTGAGTGTGCTCCTCTCAGGAGGGGAGGGGTCACTTATCACCGGTGTCTCTGGACTGAGCGAGAATTCCAGCCAGAGAGTGACCACCGGAGAGAAGCCCCGGTGCCTTGGGAAGTTGGCACCCTTCCCCGGGGGCGTTTTTCCAACAGAAGGAGCCAGGGTGCGCCCACTGCAGGTATACGCTCCGCCGCTGCCATCAGGCCAGACTAATTTAGCCATTTAACACCTTCACCGAGGTTTTGAGGCACACGAGTCATAAATCAAACTAAAAAATGATTAATTGCTGACATAAGCATCAGTTAAGAGGGGTTACATCCACTGCAGCCATAAGTAATTGTCTGATCAGTGAAAGGATTTCTGCTTCTGCGATGGGACTTCCCCCCTCTTCCAAATCTGTTCTGAGGAAGTTTCTGGGGCAAAGGGAGGTGAGAAAAGTCCCTTGCGCAAGAAGAAATCCTTGCACCGATGGGATAATTACTTAGTGCCACACTGGATACAAGCAAGACGTAGAAATTGTTATGGCAGATTGAAGACAAGAGTTGCCATTATTCTAACAGGAACAAAAAGATAAGGATAACAGGATTAAAACGCAAAGTTTAACTTCACACTTAGAAGCTTAATAGCCTAACTTTAAATGAACATCCCATGGTTAAAATACACCCCCCCCCCCCATGAAAAGGATGCACAAAAAGAGGTTTCCTGCTGAACTGAGAGACTGGTAAACAGGCTTACAGAAGCTATTCAGTAGTTATCAAGTTGCAGCTAAACTAATTAAACCCTGCTTCACATCCATTAACTCCCATATACTGCATTCTCCATCCTAAACTCTGCTGACTCTCAACTGTCTCACCCCCCGCTAACATTTCAAATTCATTCTCCTTCTCTACCTAACATTGCCTAAATACTTGTAATACACATAGCTTAATACTTATAACATGCTTGCCTTAATTACTCTATTGCATACATTATAAAAACACACCAGAACCTCAAAGACTCATATGTTGTATCTGTACCTGGCAATTCCTATGGTCATATGGGAAGTGTCACTTTCAACCATAGTAACACCAATGCATTATTACTGAATGAGCTGCAAAGGACAAGGCCACTGCAGATTAGAGTCTATGTGTAGGAAACATGGATGAGCTGCCCATGCAGCAATTTAAGTCCTGCTGGGATTGTGAGCCAGGTAGTTATATCTCAGTTCTTCCAATATTAACCACTTGGGATATTTAAATCATGGTGAAAGAATAGCAGCCAGTGGAAAGGACTATAGTCTTGTATTTTACAATAGTTTCAAAAATAAAAACTTAAACCTAAATATTGTCATAATATGCAATTACTGTAGAGTGTTTTCCATTCTCTAGACTGAGTGGCAACTTTTAAAATAATCTTTAAATTTGATGTTAATATGTTTTATCTTTTTTTAAAGCTGCCTTTAGCAATACAGGACATAAATTTAATTGGTGAAAAGCCAGACAATATGCTTTTGTTTTTAATTTACCAAGACCTCAAATGAATGAACAGATTTCACATAGTGTTATTCCCCACCACCCACACAGACTATTTTACTTTCTGAAGCTGCAGTTCAATAAAAACATATCTGGGAAGAAGTCCCACTGAACTTAAGGGGGCCACTAGGGGGCGCATTGGAAGATGGCCGACAATACCATCTCTCCGACCCACACAGGGTAATTAAGAGGCTGTTATGGGAGTAGGCAGCCTCCCTTGTTGCCCCAAGGAAATGGGGAACACTGCCCTTGCCTGCTGTGCCCATAAATCACCCCCTAATTCGAAAGAAGGGGGTGAGGGCCCTAGGCAGAATGCCCCGTGTGGACCTCGGCTCTCCTGGACGCTGTCTCTGATCGCGCACTAGTTGCAGCAATTTGGAATAATTAATTACAAAAGAAGCAAATGCACATATTTCAAGTGAAGAAGGGGAGTGAAGTCTGCTAATTTAAGTGACGTCTGTGAAAGACGACGACGGGCTGGAGAAACAGCAATATTTTATGATGAAGAAACACCAAAGGCGGGGTATGTTGACAACGGGGCTGAATGGGGGGGGGGGAACCTTTTTTACTTTCCTTCTATGTGATTTACAAGAACCCCTCCTCATTAGAACCGTCGGTTGAACTGACCCAAGCAGGATGATTAAGGTCTGTGTTGAGATAAACTTTAACCAAAAGTATGCTTTATGGAGACCGAGAAGCAATAAGAGTTTTTGGGAATGGCGCAGCAATTAATTCGGAGTCGCATCTTGCCAAAGGATTTATAGCCGGGAGGAAGAACAGATTTGTTTTCAGACTGCATTCCTAGTGAATCTCCTCAGAGGTTTTGAGAAAGGAGGCAGATTGGTGAAGATTAATGACGCTAAGACTGTTTTGATGTATGGAAGTGATGTTATATGGAAAACGTCTGGATATGGCTACTGGATAAAAAAATAATATCCACGCAGGATTACAAACTGTTCTAACCAGCTTGCGGAGACTATCAGAGGTCACAAAGAGAAAGGAAAAATATATGAAAATAACAACAAGAGATGTGGAAAAATAATAAGAAAGGACTGGATAGTACTGTGAACATCATAAGGTTAGATTTGTGGACATTAAAACAGCAGTAAGAAGCAAGAAGTTGATTGGATCCCTTCGGAACTTGAAATATGGGTACCCCCAACAAAAATTTAAAATTCGGCTGTGTAATTTGGAATTTATGTAATTTGGTTTGATTTGATGTAATTGGTCGGTTAATAAAAAATTATTCTTAAAAAAAAGAAGAAGTCCCACTGAACTTAATGGGGTTTTCTTCGGAGTAAATAAGTATAGGATTGCACTATGAATCCGCAAGAAATAGCAATTATTTTTTCAGAATAAGCATAAATATTTTTAAATGAGTGCCTTTAATTCCAAGTAACAATTTACCCTTTACTTGTTGGCTGCTCTTTTGCATGATGACTCCTAATTTCTGCCTTTTCATGACTCTGAAAGAGTTAAAACAAAATCTACATTATTATTTATACATTATATTGATATCCCGCCCTTCCTCCAAAAGAAGCTCAGGTTGCTAATAAGCCTCCAATTAAATACAGAGCAGTGTCCCAGACTTTCACAAGGTAGCACAGCAGCTACAGTGCATGAGCATTTTCTGATTAAAGAAATATATTAAGCTATCAGGGTTAAATTAAAGCATGCATCAACCCAGCTTATATTTAACATTATAAATACAGCTGAACAGAGTCTATAGTCAGAGCAATTGAAATACTTAAGCCAAGCATAATTTAAGCAAATCTAAAGGCAACAGACAAACTTCTAGTACACCACTCTGTTGGGTTGAAATAAGTGACAGACGAATGGCAAGGTGTCATACGGGAGGCATCTCTTGAGCATGTCTCGGAGAGTCCCTTTTATTGAATATTACAGCATTCCCACATATGTGCTTGTTGCTGATCGGTTAACATGAATACAATGCAAAGGTTGAATATAGGTATTAATCATCAATAGATTAAAGGTTGGGAAAGGGAACACAGAATTGGACAGGCGTGAAACCTCCTTTTTAAAAATATTAACTAGTGATTGAGTATCAAGACTTAAACTATTACTAATGATTGATATAGCATGACATGAAAGAACATAACAATCGCGTTCCGTAGATGTGGTCAACAATGCGTTAAGAACAGGTCAGGGTATTGAACTCAATGTGAACTGATCAGAACATTCTCAGACTCATGTGCAGAGGCAAAAACTTCCCAGCACCACTCTAATAAAAGTGACTGTAATGCTTTCTTCTCCAAATCTCCAAGTCTCACCTTTTCACTTCTATGTGAAGATGAGCTAGATGATTGGTGCGATCGCTTTTCACTGGAAGTCTTGGAATAAGAATGCTAAAACACAAAATGAAATAGAAAAAAAAATTACTGAGGCCCCCCTGAAAATCTACCTTGTCTACGCGAACAAACAGAAAGATGCAGTGACAAATTTGAATTGTTTTATGTAACTATGATTTAACCTTTTCTTTTTGGGTTTAAGATCTCTCTTTCTCAAATCACACACATATACACTGAATTAATGATGTTTTGAAAGGACACTTCTCTTAGACACCCCATAAACACACATACTGAATTAATTATGCACATCAAGAGGGTATACATCCTCCTACAGGTCTTGTTTTTCCACCAACCAACTCCTGGAAACACGTAGGGTGGACAAGAATCAGAGCCCAAAAAAATTAAGTTTGGCTAGGAAATACAGTGCTTCCTTTCCTTCCTTGTCTCTCACACACAGCCATACAAACCTCAACAACAGATTGTGATTAAGCAGGAGAGACCTTAACCATATCCCCGGTTTGAAGGACACACTAAGTCATATCTTGCTTAGCTGCTATTCTGCACTGAACTAAAACACAGAGATAAACAAAGCCAATACTCTAGCTTACCATTTTGTGCAAAAAAGGCCATTATGTGAATACAAACTTATTTCCACTCCACATTTGCATCTCCACAGACTTTCCTACCTTGGTATCTGAAATATCCTCCTTTTTGCTAGATTTCTTTTTGCGTTTTTCGTACATGTTCAAGTTTCAAAAGTTCAAGTTTCAAAATCTAAAAAGAGAGAAAGGCAATATAATCTTATTTCCAAATGCATTTTACATTTCCCCCTCTTGTTGCTTTGGCTAGTAGATGAGGCCAGGGGTTTTCTGGGGTTTTCTCTGGGCCACACTTTTAGAATTAAAATTTGCTTGTGCCACATTAGATTTTTGTTGGAAAACAAAAAGAAGCACTTCCTGGCAGTGCTTAATTTATAACACAGAACACAACTACTTTATAGCATGATCATGGGGCATCCAGAAAGTATAAAACAATGCAGCCACGTGAGAACGTGAATCATTCTCTAATTATAAAACAAGCCTCTTCCGTATGTACCTTAAGTATGCACACAAACTCAATGAGAGGTGTGAGTTTGCCTCAAATTAGTCCCAGTATAAATGAGATTACATGGCAAAAGCAAACAAACTCATCAACACATTTTGAAAAGCTATCTATCCCTGTTCTGCAAATAACATATATACATTTCAGTGATGTATAGTGTGTGTACACACACACACATACACATACACACACACACACACACACACACACACAGTGGTTTTTTTTCTGGGGAGACGCATACCCCTAAACATTTTGTTAATCTTTGTACTTTTGTCCATTTACAGTATTTATTTTATCCGATTTGAACTATAAAATGGTGATTTTCTTGAGTCAAAATGAGAGTACCCCTAAACATTTTTTTTAAAGAAAAAAAGCACTGCATACACTATACATGCCTGGCATGCTCTGGTCCATGGGGTCACGAAGAGTCGGACACGACTAAACAACTAAACAACAACAACACTATACATCACTGAAATGTTTAAATATTTCTTTGATTGTCCTTGAATCTTTCCCACGCGCCACACCCTTTGAGAACCACTGTTCTATGAATGCAAGAAAAGTAAAGAAAACACCCAAATCCACAGCTGGTCAGTACCTTTATGGGCTTAAGGGCCAACTGTGAACTCCAAATGGCACTTCCTCAAGAGGAAAGGCAGTTTCCCCAGTGCTAAACAGTAAAACCAATCTTCCTTCAGAATCCCAGGCACTGACCTCCTTCCTCCCCAAGAGTTTATTTTCTAGTAAACGACCTCAGATCCCAGGCTTAGAACGGTTTGCCCTCTCTCTTCACACTCGGCCCCTTTTCCTCTCGTCGCATCACAATGAACATCATCACAATGAACAGCGAGGCGTTGTTGTTGCTTTTGCTTTCTTTAAAAAACAAAACTAGGGGGCAATTGGCTGCGAAGCATGTTGGGTACTGTAGTTTTCCCGGCTCGCCTGCGCCATAGGGATGTAGTCCTGCCTCTCTCAAGCTTGGGACCCCAGTTATTGTTGGACTACAACTCCCATCATCCCTACCTACAAGACCAGTGGTTAGGGACAATGGGATATGTAGTTCAGGCTTCCTCAACCTCGGCCCGCCAGATGTTTAGGGACTACAATTCCCAGCATCCCTGACCACTGGTCTGGCTAGCTAGGGATCATGGGAGTTGTAGGTCCAAAACATCCAGAGGCCCGAGGTGGAGGAAACCTGTTGTAGTTTAATACTAATACTGATTTATTATTTATACCCCGCCCATCTGGCTGGGTTTCCTCAGCCACTAATATCTGGGGACCTAAATTTGAGAAAGGCTGTAAACAGCAACAACAACAAGTAAACTTAGCACGCGCCGAATATACCGAACTCCCCAACCTCCTCCCTCGCATCTGCAATGACAGCAGTCGGCTTGTTTCTCTTTTGCTAGAACAGAGACCATTAGGAGCGTACTAATTTGAGAGAGAGAGAGAGAGCGAGAGAGAGAGCGAGATGCCACGTTTCCCACACACGATACAGCTAGTCGTCCCTAGGACCCCACACGTTGTTGGGACTACAGCTCCCATCATCCCTGACTGCCGGCCCTCCTCACTAGGGTTGATGGGAGTTGTAGTCCAGCAACCTCTAAGGCTCCCCAACGTTGAGAAAAGCTGACTTCGAGCATCAAATTCCCTCTTTGCTTCGGCCTTTTTGGGGGAGGGGGAGTGGGGGGCGACAACTCACACAGTTTGTGGCTTTCCCTGTTGGCAATTGTCTCCTTCGGCCCTCTAACCGGAGGGAAAGAGAGAGAGAAATAATAATAATAGCCAGGCAGGAAGTCTTGACCTGCAAGCGGGCAAAACTTCTTGCTTTAGCTAAATAAAACGTCTATGCACGTTTCCAGACACGAGGAAGCCGTCTTTCTCTGCCTCTCTTGCACCAACCTCGCTCCGATTACCTGGGAGCAAATAAGCCCCGTTGAACCCGAGGGGGGATTACTTGGAAATGGATTCCCACAGCAAAAGGGCCTCCCTTTCGAAACGCGACACCGGTATTGATAGGGAGTTTGTAAGCACAGACGTCAGTCAGTCAGCGAGCCCAGCCCAGCTTTTAGCCTTTAAACCCGCGGTATCCGGTCCACGCCCCTATGGAGTCCTTCTTCCCTCAGGGAAAATGTGAGTACAGTATAGTCCTGCCGCGGGGCATCTCGGGTAACGTAGTTCGTATGCGCCTGAGGAGAGCGCGCGCAAGTATTTACATATTTATTTCAGGTCTATTGCTGCCGCGGTGCGTCTTGGGTAACGCAGCTCTGAAGCGTATTTCTGAGGCGCTTGAGGAATAGGCTTAGCCGCGGGGCAACTTGGGTAACGTAGTTCTTAGGCACCTGAGGAGCGCGAGAAAGAGCGAGAGCGCGCGCGCGCAAGTATTTACATATTTATTTCAGTATTTACAATATTTATATACAATATTTACAATATTTATATATTGCTGCCGCGGTGCGTCTTGGGTAACGCAGCTCTGAGGCGGCTAAGGTTTAGGATTAGCCGCGGGGCATCTTGGGTAACGTAGTTCTTAGGCACCTGAGGCGCGCGCGAGAGAGCGCGCACGCGTATTTACTTCGGGTCTGTTGCTGCCCGTTGTGCATCTTGGGTAACGTAGCTCTGAGGCGCGGGATTAGCCGCGGGGCCTCTTGGGTAACGTAGTTCTGAGTCCCTGAGGGCCCTTGGGGGAGACGAGCTCGTGCACAACATGCTGAGCCGAAACAAGAGTCTGCTGAGGGGCCACGTCCCGTGACTAAGGCGCGGCCCGTGCTTGCCGGAGGAAAAAAGCCGAGGGAGCCGCCGAGTGAAGTGGGCCCTCTCTCCTCCCCTTCCTCACCGCCGCTGTGTGGAAAATGGCGGCCGAGGGAGCGCTGTTGCCCCCGCCGCCCGCCAAGGAGGGAGAACCTGAGGCGCTCAGTAAGGAAGGGGGCGGTTCAGTAACTGTCAGATGGGCGAGGGGTTGTTGTGGTTGTGGTTGCCTTGAAGTTGGGCCTGCGGGGGGCGGGTTGTACGTGTGGTGGGTTCTCCCTCCTTCGGTCCGTTTTGAGGGAAGCTTCTCATCTCAGAGGGGCGCGTTCAGACGTTACGTGTTCAGGCCGGCGTTTCACCCTCACGCCTGAGGTGACGCCTGGTGTTAGGAACTCCCAAGATTCATCAGCTGCTCGTCAAATGCTCCTTCAGCATATCCACACACAAAAGTGGAAGACATTTAAAAGAGAGAGAAAATCTCTGCTTTACAGGAGACCTTCCGTGCATGACAGAGGAGGGGGCAAAACCGGTCACCTTCCTGGTTCTTGGGGGTTGGGGAGACACTTTTTATAAAAATAAATAAATAGTCCTTTCATAGCAAAAGCATGGAAGTTCCCTTTCCTTAATCACACACACACAACTTTAGCCATTCACGTCCCCGATCCATGCACATTTTTACATGGGAGGAAGCCCAATTGAACCTGGTTGGGATTTACTTCTGAGCAGAAGGCATCCTCCAGGGTTGAAAACAATCTTCTTCTTTTCCAAATGGTGCCCAGATTGCTGCTTTTGTTTCTTCTAGATTGCATTTTGTTGTACCATTTAAAGGGATTATTTTTTACAGAACTTCCTTTATGACTTCATTAGTCTAAACTGAATAGGTTTTGCAGCCAATTTCACACTGCGGTTACAGTGGCAAATAGAACCCTGCTTAATGGTAACTTTGCTACTAGTCAGTGCTAATGTAATAGTGGGGAAAATTTGCATCCAGGTAGGGAAAAGCTGGGGTAGGAGGTAGAAGTACATTTTCCTGTTCCTGCTTTCTGAAGCTTGGTTAGAAGCATAAAGTGTAATGGCAGCACAAATCTGTTATTTCCGATAGGCCTGGCTTAGAAAATCCTACTTTCTTTTGTCAAAGATTTGTTTTTTTTCATTGTATATAGCTGTAATAATGCCTTTGAAACAGCTACTGATGCAGCTAATTAAAATGCATTGTAACTATAGTTTTTTGCCTTTCTCTAGATAGCATTGAAATGGAAAGCCTCAGGGCAGATGTGGAAATATCTGAGGAAGAAGTAAAAGGCAAAAATGAAGAAACAGAGCAAGAGTCTATAAAAGAGCCTAACAACAGTAACCTATTGGATGCATCATCTGACTCTCAAAGAGGTTTGCTAACATAATACTGGAATCCTTGTACAGTCGTACCTTGGCTCTTAAACAGAATGCGTTCCTGGAGTCCAATCGACTCCCAGAACCATTCAAAAACCAAAGCGCATCCTGCAGCCAATCAGAAGCAGCGCCGGATGTTTGGCTTCTGAAAATTCTTCGAAAACCGGAACACTCACTTCCGGGTTTCGATCATTTGGGAGCCGATTTGGTGAAGGGCCAAGGCATTTGAGATCCAAGGTACGACTCTAGTATGTAGGGGATGTGTGCATGCTCTAGAAAATCAGTCTGCAGCTCCATCCTTCCAATAATTCCCTCAAAGATAAATAAATAAAAATAAATAGCTATTTCTTCTTGCCTTGGATTCTTTGGGTACATCCTCCAGGTGGGAATAGTCAGAGATGTTATACTTCTAATCAAAAGTGCCACTTTCTCTTTTGTAAGTGTTTATACGTCGCTTTCAAGACTTAAAGCCAAAGCATCAAAGAGGAGTTCGGTTATGAACACAGTGAGACTTATTCCCAATTAAACATGCATAGGATTCTACAGTAGAAGTGATGTGTTCAGTACCAAAGATTCCAGATTCCCTAAGAAAGGACAGCATAGTTCAGTGCAAAAAGAGGCTAATATTTGTTTTTGGCATTTCTGAAATGTTTTTCTTTCTATAAGAAATACACTTTGGGCTTTCAAATTTCTGTGGTACCCTATGCAACGCCAAAATCTGCCCCGCACTCCAACGCCTCTCACTTTTTGTTGTTTCTAATTGTTGCAGCCCCCTCTCAGCTCAGTATCCAGTGTGGGCAAACCAGTCACGCTCCCCTACATCTGCCTCTGAAAGATATGCACAAAATATGTAATATAGACAGAATGAGAATTAGTACTGAATCATGCAGTTAAGCTATTTTGTGAATAATAGGAAACCAAGTTTTTTTTTTAAAAAAATTAATGGATAAGAAAATAAACTGTATCAAACACAGTATTCTAAATTGATAAATCAGGAAATTGAATGGAAGATCAAATTAATGAAACAAAAAACGTTTGAGTCGGCGAATAAATGTGGAAAACTGCTATCATGGCAGTTGAAGAGAAGACAAAGATTAAACACGGTTATAAATTTAGAGGTTGATGGAAGAAACATTCAGAATCCGGTGGACATTAGAAAGTGTTTCCAGAGATATTTTAAAAAATTATATACCCAAGGGCCGCAAGACGAAGTTGAGATTAAACAATTTTTGGCAAAAAAATGGATTATCTAAACTGTCACAAGAAAATAGGACAATCCTGAACTCTAAAATAACACGACAGGAGATTGAACAAGCTATTCAGAACATGCAACTTGGCAAATCTCCAGGGCCAGACAGGCTGACCTCCAAGTATTACAAGATACTAAAAAGACTATTTGATACAACCTTTGATGGAGGTTAGCAATGAAATTATGGAGGCGAAGAGGGCACCGGATTCGTGGAAGGAAGCGTTTATCACATTGATACCAAAGTCAGAAACTGAAAAGACACAACTGAAGAACTACCGTCCCATCTCCCTTTTAAATGTGGATTACAAAATATTTGCAGATATTTTGGCAAGTAGATTTAAAAAGTTTTAAATGAAGTAATTCATAAGGACCAGGCCGGTTTTCTCCCAGGTAGACATTTGTTTGCTAACACAAGGAACATTATTGATATTTTGGAACTTCTCCAAACTGACATAAATACAAAAGCTGTTTTAATTTTTATAGATGCGGAGAAGGCCTTTGATAACATTTCTTGGAAATTTATGATGGGAAACTTAAAAGAGATGGGAGTGGGACGGGGTTTTGAGAATGGGATTGAGGCGATATATTCAGAACAGAAAGCAAAACTGATAGTTAATAATGTGGTTACAGAAGAGTTCAAAATTGAAAAAGGGACACGACAAGGTTGCCCTATTTCCCCTTTGTTATTTATTTCGGTCCTGGAAGTGCTATTGAACATGATTAGAGGGACCAGCTGGTGGAAGGAATTCAGGTTGGTCAGAAACAATATAAATTAAAAGCTTTTGCAGATGACCTGGTTTTGACCTTGCAGAAGCCAGAGCCTAGTACGAAAAGAGTATTACAATTGATTAATGATTTTGGTCGGGTGGCGGGATTTAAATTAAACAAACAGAAAACTAAGGTTTTGGGGAAAAATCTGACTGAGACAGAGTCAGAACGGTTTCAGAATGAGACGGAACTTAATGTGGTTAAAAAGTAAAATACCTAGGGGTAAACATAACAGCAAAAATCTAAGTCTATTTAAGGATAATTATGAAAAATGTTGGATAGAAATTAAGAGAGACTTAGACAGTTGGTCAAAATTGAAACTTTCTTTGTTAGGCCGAATTGCTGCGATTAAGATGAATGTATTGCCAAGAATGTTGTTTTTATTTCAAACACTGCAGGTATTGGACAAAATGGAGTGCTTTCAGAAGTGGCAGAGAGACATTTCGAAGTTTGTCTGGCAGGGCAAAAGCCCAGAATTAAGTTTAAGATATTAACCGATGCTAAACAAAGAGGGGGCTTTGCCCTGCCAGACTTAAAGTTGTACTATGAAGCCGCAGCGTTTTGCTGGCTAAAAGACTGGCTACTTCTTGAAGACACTGATGTGTTAGATTTGGAGGGGTTTAACAATGTTTTTGGATGGCATGCATATTTATGGTATGACAAAGTTAAAGCAAATAAGGCCTTTAAGAACCATATTGTTAGAAAATCACTGTTTAATGTCTGGACAAAATATAAAGACTTGCTGGAAAATAAAACACCAAGGTGGCTTTCACCTTTGGAAGCTAAGGCCCGAAAAGACCCAATATGGAGGCCAAATGGCCAAAATATTGGGAAATACTAGAAAAGATGGAGACAATTGGAAATTGCAGAGCTTGGAGAAAATGAAAGACAAAGTGCGAGATTGGTTACACTATGCTCAGATTAAAGAAGTTTTTAAAAGTGATAAGAAACTAGGGTTCCAGGTGGAGAAATCGAAATTAGAAACAGAATTGTTAGAACCAAAGACTAAGATACTTTCAAGGATGTATAACTTGCTGTTGGAATGGAATACACAGGATGAAATGGTTAAATCGGCCATGATAAGGTGGGCACAGGATATTGGGTATAATATTATGTTTGAGGACTGGGAAAGGCTGTGGAGTAATGGATTGAAATTTACTGCATGTAATGCTTTGAAAGAAAATGTAATGAAAATGATTTATAGATGGTATATGACCCCAGTCAAACTTGCAAAAATTTACCACCTGTCTGACAACAAGTGCTGGAAATGCAAAGAGTGTGAAGGAACGTTCTTTCACCTCTGGTGGACATGCCCTAAAGTGAAGGCGTTCTGGGAAATGATTTATAATGAATTGAAAAAGGTATTTAAATATACTTTCACTAAGAAACCAGAGGCTTTCCTTTTGGGTATTGTCAGCCAAGGGGTGGCAAAGAAGGACCAGACATTTTTATGTATGCAACAACAGCAGCAAGGATACTACTCGCAAAACATTGGAAAACCCAAGATCTACCCACACTGGAAGAATGGCAGATGCAACTGATAGACTATATGCAACTGGCTGAAATGACCGGCAGAATCCGTGACCTGGGAGAAGAGAGAATCGAGGAGGATTGGAAGAAATTTAAGAACTACCTACAAAAACATTGTGATTTGATTGAATGCTGAATAAGATGCTGGACTAAATAACTGAGCACCACTTAACTTAGAAATTTTTAAGGAAACAAGAAAAATTGTGAAAGTTTAACTCTTTATGAGAACTTTAAGATTATGAAATATCGAAGAGATATAAGAATTTAAATAAGATGATAAATTGCTGACAAAATGTTATAATGATGAAGGTGGGAGCGGGAGATGTGAGGAAGTCCAAAGAAAATGTGAAATTATGTTAAGACGAATGCTATATTGTTTATTACATTTATTCCTATTGTAAAACCCAATAAATTGCTTTAAAAAAAAAAAAAAAGAAAATAAAAAGTAGATTTTATAGGAATAGCTTTGGCACCATCATTCTGTTTTGTACAGGAGCAGAGAAAGTTTACAGTGATAACTTTTAATTCCTATCCTTTTCCTATTCCTATCCTATTCCTATTTAACTTATTGTGTAAATGTTCTCAGTTTATGTTATTATGCAAGTGGAGGATAGATAGAGTCGGTGCTTTTTTTCTTAAAAAAATGTTTAGGGGTACTCTCACTTTGACTCATGAAAATCACCATTTCATAGTTCAAATCAGGGGAAATAAATACAGTAAATGGACAAAAGCACAAAGATTCACAAAATGTTTAGGGGTATGCGTAACCCTGCGTACCCTCCAGAAAAAAGCACTGGCTATAGTGATGTGGGACACAAAGTTTTGAGAAAGAGCTGTTATGGTGGCATTTGGTTGTAAATTACTATGTAACAAAGGATATGTACTGACAAATCCATGTAATTGTTTTATTCCAGAGAAGCATATCTCAATTCAAAGAACACTTGCCGATTTAGAGAAACTGGCTGACCTGCAGGAAGGTTGTCTAATCTCAGCTGCTTCCCAGAATGCAGATCACTCTGTGGCAGGTATTTAAACTCCAGAGCTAGGCATCGCATGGCTCCAGAGCTAGGCATTGCATGGCTGAAAGATAATGCTCCTAGTGTTAGATGAGAGAGAACATATTGGTTAAGTGCTTGCAGATAAATGGATTCTTTGAAAGAGCAAGATAGCTGAATATAATTCCATGTGTAGTGCTTGGGCGGAGGTCTCTAGAGCCACAGCAAGAGCTGTAATTCTCCAATGGTTTGACTTTACCTCTGAAGGCACACTCTTTCCATTGTGTCCCAAGAGAGATGGATGCCAACCAACCAACAAACCTGGGGGTGGGATTACATCTGCAGCTCTATCCTTGCTATTGGCTATCCAAGCCAAGAGATCCACTCAAGCTAACTTCACAAAGGAAAGTGGGAGGGAAGCAAGTGACAATGGTGCAGGAGTCCCCAACGAATTTCAGTTCCTTTGTCGTCTTAAATTGTTTGCAACAGTGCAGTTACTTGGCAGTGTCTTTGAATGGTCAATAGTGGTGTATATTTGCTGTCATATTTTCAAATCAATGGATGGGTTGTTGTGTCTCTGTTTTTTGATCTAATTTGAATTAGGAGCTGGCAAGAAGTCTTGTCCACTGTGCCCTGAAGAGAAGTTCAAAGCTTGTTATAGTCACAAGCTCCATCGCCACCTACAGAATCTCCACTGGAAAGTGTCTGTTGAATTTGAAGGTAAAAATGGCTAAAATGCCATTGTTGATGCCAACACAATTCAGTGTCTATGGGTAGCAGATTTTAGTTCTTTGTTTAAACCTTTCCCAGCAGTTCAAGTTCTATGAGAACGCTTACAGTCACAGGGAAACTCCTCATAAATTATGCCATATTTAAAGTTCAAGCTTAACAGATCAATCTGATTCATGTTGCAAAAAATACTTGTTTGCAGAAGTAGCTGTGGATAATTTACAATGAGGGTGCACCAACAGAACTGGCTATCTTTGCCTTACTTGTTTGGTGTATATATCAAATTGTGAGACTACCAATGTCCTCTCTGTATTCTAGGCTACAGAATGTGCATCTGTCACTTACCTTGCCGCCCCGTGAAACCAAATGTTGCTGCAGACCAGGTAATTGCTATATAAATGGCTATTATTTTGAAAAGCAGAAAATGTTATCAATTGTTCCACATCTGATACTGTTACTGAGGATCCGAATGGGTTGGGTTATGACCCTCGTCTTAAATATAATATTTATAGTGGATTTCTTTTTGGTCTGGCAGCATGCTTATTTATTTATTATTATATAAAAATAATTTTATAAGAGGAAGCTAAAATTTAATACGTTACATAAAGGCTGCATTTGAACATTAAGCTTTGTTGCTGAATTGTAAACTGCATCCTTCGTGGTATCAACTATAATTGGTTTATATGGGTTTTTACTGTTGTTGTCTTAAGTATTATAAGATATGGTATAATATTAATATTAAAATGATTTTTCTAATCAACTTTAACTATGCATGCAATGTGTGTTGTAGATCAAAATGGAAGCCCATTATCACTGCATTATCTGTTCGGCAACTATTACCCGAAGGACAGATATGATAGGGCATATTAAACGTCATGTGAATAAAGGAGAAACTGAATCAAGGTTTATGCCAGGTAAGTATTTAAACATCTTTGTTTTTACTGCATGAAGATACTGTATTTTTATCACTGGCTATTATAGATAGAATAAATGATGAAATTAGAATAGGTGACAGTGTATTTGTTTGAGTTTGTATTCCTTTCTAACTCACAAGGAATTAAAGCTACTTTAAAGAACCCAGATTTGTTGCTAGTACCATTTAAAGGGATTATTTTTTTTACAGAACTTCCTTTATTAATCTAAACTGGATAAACTGTCATGAATTTTTGACATTGGTGCATGTATTATTACCAAATTGTTCCCAAATTGCTTCTTTTGTTTCTTCTGTATTGTATTTTATTGTATTACAGTTTGTATTCAATAAAATTGTACGGCACAGTAGAACAGAGCTAAAACAAAACAAACCCCTAAATGTAAAACAAGAATACATATCTTTGGCTTTATTAGTCATGGCAAAAAAAATATTATACATAGTTCATAGTTCCTAGCCAATTTCTTGTCTGCCGACAAAGCTTATGTCCCTAGGTTAGTGGTGGGGAACCTTTTTGTCCCGGAGAGGCAGATTCTTATCTGACTTTACCCTGCTGGCCAACTTTGACAGGTTAGTGGAAAAACTCATCTGAAGTCAGCTGGCTGCCAGGCTCTTGGGAAGTACAGTCAGACCTTGGATCTCAAACGCCTTGGCTCCTGAACAATCAAAACCCGGAAGTGAGTGTTCCGGTTTTCGAACGATTTTCAGAAGCCAAATGTCCAGCGCAGCTTCCGATTGGCTGCAAGCCAATTGGAAGCTGCACCTTGGTTTTCGAACAGTTCTGAGAGTCAAACAGACTTCTGAAACGCATTCTGTTCGAGAACCAAGGTACCACTGTACTGCATAAAATGCTTTGTGAGCTCTGTGCTCAGCCCTTTTCTCTTTAATACAACAGCACTGAGGCAGTTTCTCAGCATAAATTAGATTTTCCAAGTGTTCTGAAAATTAATTATTATTGTTAAGATGTCTTTTATTTAATAACTGTCATATTTTGTGTTAACAGTACTGTGGATCTAATGATTTTGGTGGTTCCTGAACATTACAGGCCAGGCAAACATATAGAGACCCAGTTCAAACATTGTTTGAGGCTTCACAAGCCTTACGAAGCTGAGAAAAAGCGCTGAAGCCAAACATTCCTTCCTTTGGGTTCTGGTTTAAAGCCTAGATTCTGGCTTGTTATTAAGTCAGAGCTCCTCTTTACATCCAAATGGGAAAACTTAATGTCAATAAACCAGCATCTGATTCATAGTTTATGAAGCCTTGAGTGATGGTCTAAATTAAGCTATAGTCTCTCTAACACTCTCTTTCATTCTGAAAATTATTTTTAGCCCCTGCTCCCAAATCTACATATGAAATACTAAAAGAAGCAGATACAGATGTGCAAGTCCTTCCTAATTATTCCACACCACAGAAAACTGATTCTTATTTTAATCCTAAAATGAAACTTAACAGGTAAGAAATTTGAGGATCATTATGGAGGGGATTAAAAAATTTTCATTTATATTTTTTCATATTAACAGAAACTAGTACATGGTGGATATTTCTGTGGCACAGGTGAAATATATGGATTAGCCAAGCCAAGTACATGAAGCCCATGGCTGCAGTGTGATTCGAACCAAGACAGAAATTGAGTGTGATTCATTGGACTTGCTGGAACATAAAAGTACTGAGAAGTTTAAGTCCTACCCAAAATATCAGGATTGTGCAGTTTCCAAACCTGCCAAAACAACAAGAATGCAAATTTCAGGGGGGTGGGGAACAGTTGGATCTTACCTATTGTTTGAGCTGGGTGTCCACCAGTATGCGGATGATACCCAGAGCTCTACCTCTCCTTTAGATTGGAACCAGTGAAGGCAGTGAATGTCCTGTATGAGTGTCTGGAGGCGGTTGGAGAATGGATGGCGACTAACAGATTGAGGTTGAATCCTGACAAGACAGAAGTACCTTTCTTGGGGGACAAGGGGCGGGTGGGCCTCCCTGGTCCTGAATGGGGTAACTGTGCCCCTGAAGGACCAGGTGCAGAGCCTGGGAGTCATTTTGGACTCACAGCTGTCCATGGAGGCGCAGGTCAATTCTGTGTCCAGAGCAGCTGTGTACCAGCTCCATCTGGTACGCCAGCTGAGACCCTACCTGCCTGTAGACTGTCTTGCCAGAGTAGTACATGCTCTGGATATCTCCTGCTTGGATTACTGCAATGTGCTCTACATGGGGCTACATTTGAAGGTGACTCGGAAACTACAACTAATCCAGAATTCGGCAGCTAGACTGGTGACTGGTAGTGGCCACCAATACCATATAGCAGGGGTGGCCAACTCCCAAGAGACTGCAATCTACTCTCAGAGTTAAAAACTGGCAGTGATCTACCCCCTTTTTTTGGAAGGAAAGCCCTGTTTTTTGGGGTTCAGGTCTTAAGTAGTTGTTGAGCTTTTTTTAGGAAGGTGGAAAGCCCCAATTTTGGGGGGTGCAGGGCAAAAGCGTTGAGCTTTTTTTAGGGCAGCCAAAGTAGTTGGGCTTCCTTGGGGGAAGACCATGATCTACCAGCGATCTGCCACAACCGTCCTGTTGGACGTGCCTGCCATATAGCACCAGTCCTAAAGGATCTTCACTGACTCCCAGTACATTTTCGGCCTCAGCCCAGTATACCTGAAGGAGCATCACCACCTCCATCATTCAGCCTGGACATTGAGGTCCACTTCCTGGGGGCTTCTGGCAGTTCCCTCACTGCGAGAAGTAAAGTTACAGGGAACCAGGCAAAGGTCCTTCTCAGCAGTGGCACCCTGCCTGTGGAACGTCCTCCCATCAGATGTCGGGGAGATAAAGAATTACACAACTTTTAGAAAACATCTGAAGGCAGCCCTGTTCAGGGAAGTTTTTAATGTCTGACATTTTATTATTTTTTATATTTTGCTGGAAGCCGTCCAGAGTGGCTCGGGAAACCCAGTAAACAATAAAATTATTATTATTACTGTTACCATTATTACTGTTTAATTTGAAGAAACTGTCCGGAAACTTACGAGAGGAAGAATAAATTTGGAGTTTACATCTTTGTTTAAATTAAGATCACTTTTTTATTCTTTTAGGCAACTCGTAGTCTGTGCTCTAGCTGTTCTAGCAGAGGAACGGAAACCTTTGGAATGTCTGGATGCATTTGGAGCCACTGGTAGGGTGCTGTTCTGTGCTTTGGTTCATGTGTTCCTTGTAAAGGGAAATTGCTGTAGAGTAAATCCTACTGAAGTCACTGGGATATACTATGCAAAAACATGTTGATTACACCCTTGCTCTGTTAGTTGCTCTGGCATTCAGGAAAAGAAAAGAGGGGTTGTCAATTTTAGAAATAAATACTTTCTTGGAATAGAATTAGCAAACAATCGTTGATTTGTTAGCCTTAGTGAAAGCAATTATATACATATTTTTCAGTTAGGGATAATAATAATTTAATGTGCATTGTGTATATTAAGAACATTAGCATGTTTCTATGCAGTATGCTCCACACGAGCAAACTCTTACTTTATTGCATGCATCTAACTGTACACAAGTAACCACCGATCTACACAGGGGTTGTGTTCCAGGTCATCATGCGTGACAGCAGAGCGTGCATAAGCCCATTAGTGCCTGCCCCCCCCCATTATTCCCCCTTTTCTGGCGACTTCTGAGTCGCCATGATGTGCATGTTCATGCTCATGAGTCAATTGGACACATGTAAATCAGTCACTGCCTTTACATCTCTTGCTTCCAGGTATAATGGGATTACAGTGGGCAAAGCATCTTGGAAACTCCGTGAAGGTCACAATTAATGACTACAATGAAAATTCTGTAAGAATGATACAGGAGAACTGTCACTTAAATAAAATGAAAGTGGTGATGAACTTCAAAGAGGAGGAAGACTGTGATGAAACAATAGAAGAAGGGGAGGAAAACTTGCCTGCCATTGAGGTGACAAAAATGGATGCCAATGTCATCATGCACTTGAGAGCATTTGATTTTATGTAAGTGGCATTTGCTGTTGGATCAGAACCCACCCCCCCACCCAACACCTAGGGTTTGGTAAGTGGAGACGAGATCAAGTGTGGCACAATCAAAACAATGTGCAAAGCGCATGACTTGTCAATATAAAATCAACCTAAATTGAAATTTCATGGCATCTCCTTTTTACTCTTCAGCCCTGATGAAACTTTGTATATGCCATTATATATTTTCATACATTTATATTCTGCTTTTCTTCCCTCATGGAAGTTAAAGCACTGACTCAGATCTGCTTAGCTTCCATAAGGTGGTGGCCTCAGCTGCTTCCAGACCAGTGAAATAATCTCAGCTGTAGCTGCTTCAACAGCATGTTGCTCCATGTAATGGATTATTCAGATATATTATAAATATTGTAAAATTAATTAAGCAAAACTTTAGGAGCCTTCTTAATATCTAAAAATGAAAGCAACTTTGTTGTCCAAACTTTTAAAGCAGGGTCTAATCCCTAATAGAATTGTACTGCAACTAGGATGTTGCTTCATTTATACCATTATTATTTATCCCAGTCTACCTTCTGCCTATCCATACACCATTAGGCACTGTGCACCTGTGGTTTTAGTCAAAATAAGTGGGGATTCTTACAAGAGCTACTGGCTAGAAAAATATTAGTTCACAGTACTGCACAGTTGTCATTTATATATATGCAAATGAATGATTACTTTGCTTAAGATATATTAATGTTTACTTGCAACTTTAGGACTTGGGTGGGCAGCTTGCAGAACCACCCTCAGCCTTTCAATTTCTATTTGTGAGCCATTTACAGAGTGGTTTTTTGCTCAGCTCAGCTGCATATTCACATGTTTTTCTCAAGAAACTCTACCCTTTACCAATCCTGTTATCACTGGATAACACAAAGTGGTGAGTAAAGTCATACCAATGCATCAGCAGAGTGTTCCAAGTCACCAAAGCTACACCCTTGTGCTGGAGACTATTATGTGGAATATTTAGCAAATTTCACCTGCCAGTCTTGTAACATACGTTATTGCAATTTTCCTATAAAAATCCCACCTCCCTTGCTTATCAGGCATGAACACGGTTGCAAAAATCCCAGTGCCCAGAAGCCACTTGCACCTTAAAAATAGGCATCTGGATAGGGAGAAGAAAGAGCAACCTTGAGCACACACAGAGTGCCTCCCTCACTACTGAATAACTGCAATCAACAGCCACTCATAAGAGAAAGAATTCCAGGCTGGTGCTACAACTGCCTGGTAGACTCCAACTCTGGCAACTCTTAAAGCCTTGTCTAGAGTAGGGATGGGGAACATGTGGACTCCAACTCGCCTCATTCCTGAATATTAGTCATGCTGGCTGTAGCTGATAGAGTTGGAGTTCGGCAACATCTGGAGGGCCACAAATTCTCCATTTCTGGTCCTAGAGGGAAGGTGAGATAGGGAGACAAAGAAGCCACTGACACTATTATTCCTCTTCTCAACAGTGCCCTTTGACCTCTATCCTTTCCTCCCTTCCCAGAAGATATGGCTAGTTCCTAAGTTTTACAAATAAATAATGATAATACATTGCACCACCGGGCAAAGATGCTATTCGCTAACAATCCTTATTAAGTGGGGGTAGCTTAGTATTTCTTTAGATTTATAGTCTTGACTGAAACTACATATGTGAAACGTGGTCACAGCATAACCTATATTCTGTTTTATTTCTGACTTGAGCATGGATATGGCTTTTGAAAATCAGAAGTATTTAAAGTGTAGTAGCTAAGTTGCAGCCCTAAGCAGGCTTACTTGGAAACTAGTTCTACTGAACACAGTGAAACCCTTTTTCTGAGTAAACAAGATTAGGAATCTCTCTTTAACGTGTTTTTATCTCTCTCCTACTCCACTCTACAGACATCTGGACCCATTTGGGTCATCAGTGAACTATCTAGATGCAGCTTTCAGAAATGTAAGAAACCTTGGAATTGTGTCAGTGACATCAACAGATATCAGCTCTCTCTATTCAAAGGCACAGCATGTGGCCCAGCGTCACTATGGCTGCAACATTGTCAGGACGGAGTATTTCAAGGAACTGGCTGCTAGGATGGTAGTTGCTGCTGTGGCAAGGTACAATTAGTTTCTGAATTGTGGTCATCTCACATTTAAGTATAAGGGGGCTGTAGTCTCTCCCACCTAAAGTTGCTAACTGAAACTTTTAGTAGCAGCTGGGGAAAATTGGTTCTCTGCGTCTTGCTTTCTGACAGCCTTCAGAAATTATATCTGGAAGCATGAATACTGTAAAGCAGATAATAAACAGCCCAAAGCAGAATTGCAAGCCTTGTAACTCACCCTGCTGAATGCCATATATTGTGGTCTGCCAGATGTTTTGTGGCCTCCTTGTTTTTACACGCCCCAATGCGCAAGAAAAAGAGGTCCATTGAACTCCTCATAACCACCATAGGTGGCTGGTGACCTGAGCATTGAATTGCGAGTTGTGTGGACCTAGAGTACCACCGTGCACAATATATCTCCTTTGATTTGACTTCCTTAGGATTGTGTGCACGTCTTCCAGAAAACGTCTTGCTCAAAAGCGTTAGTAAAAAGAAACTTCATTAGGGGATTTATTCCACTGCTCAGCAGGAACTGAAGCAAGTAACTGCAATCACCTCTGATTGGAACTAATTTGGAAATCTTGAAGCAGATCGTAGAACTACATCGTTATGTTAGATTTTTAGTCATGGGTGCAATTTCATGAAGGTCATTGCATGATTAAAAAGCAACGTGAACACTTTAGCTTGTTTGTTTTGTGTTTATCCATAGCATTTTGTTAGCAAAGTGTATTGGCATTGAAATAAGACATTTAAGTGTAGGAGCCATGTCTGGAAATTAGTGGGGTCAATGTGCTGGGACTGTAAAATTTCACAGGGTGCAAGAGGTACTCAGAAGTTAGAAGACCTTCCAGTGATATCAAACTTGTGCATTAAGTGAGAAGACTTGACACATTCAATCATATATATATACCTGAATGTGTGAGTTGTAAAATGGGGGTGGGGACATCCTACCCTCCCAACCCCAGAGATCTGAAGGTGGTTTTAATTGTGCCCAGGTGAATGTACTTAATCTTTGTGTGTGACAGGAATCTTGATAAGATAGATACCCTTTCATGAGTGAGATCCCTAAGTGTGGCTAATCGAGCACACTTAAAAACTCTTCTATTCAGACCTTCACACTAATTCCAGAAGGGTCTGAAGAGTAGCCTGCATGGGCAGGGATGTTGGGCATGTGTGCCCCTGCCTGAACACTGCTTTAGTCTTTCATGAACTGTGTTAGTCATGGTATTTTTTGCAGAGCTGCTGCTCGATGCAACAAAGGCATTGAAGTTTTGCTTGCTGTGGCTCTCGAACATTTTGTCCTAGTGGAGGTGAGAGTATTGAGGGGGCCATCTCCTGCAGATGATACTGTGAAGAAAATTCGGTACCTGCTCCACTGTCAGTGGTGTGAGGAAAGGGTATTCAAGAAAGATGGCAACATGATAGAAGGTAATCATATATGCTGTAACTTCATGTACCAGTGCTGTTCAGCTGGTGAAAACAAAACATACACAATCCAGTGGTTATTTTTAAAAAGCTAAACTTTTCTCTGCTTAATTTCTTTGCTGTGGATTTTTTGAAAAAAGATAATTGGTCCAGCATAAGCTTAATTTATTTCAAATATTTGTACCCTGCCTTTGCTTCTACCGTGCAACGCCACCAACAAAGAGTTTTGCAGAGAGTAGACTTTCTAAAATCAATGATCCTAAGTGTGTCGTGTCTATTAATTTCAGTGGGTCTGCTTTGAGTAAAAACAAACAACCTAAATGTGTATTCAAAACTGGCCAGAGGGCTTCTGTGAATGATCTTAATGCACTGGGAGGCTCATTTGGGACAATTTCACCCTCCAAAATAGCCTGTGTGATTTATCATTCTCATCTAGCCTAAATAATCCAGGGAGTGAAGCCAAAATCTCTGTTCAAGTCCAAGTCCACCGTATTATACTCACTCTCTGGCTAGAAATCAACATCCTGAACTTACTATGTTTTGTGGGGTGTAACACATAATTATCCCCCCCCCCCCAAAAAAATTGACCCCATCTTCTGGGCCACTGCACACAATTCTGAAATTGTCCTGACTCCTCCTGGGCCTAATAATAGCTACCATGTGAGTTATATTTAAATCACTGTGAAAAACAGTTTTCAAGCTTTATATTTTAATAGACATACCCTATTACCAAGTTTCCACTATGTTCATTATTTTCTATACATACAAGTCTCCAACATTTGTTTAGATAAGAAATGCCAATATTGTTTTCTACAGAGAACCCTTACCGGCAGCTCCCTTGTGACTGCCACAGCCGCATGACAGGCAAGACAGCAGTGGAACTTGGTCCTCTCTGGTATGTATTTTTCTAGATCCTCAGTTGGGTGCTGGCATTCCTACGGAACCATCAGCAGCTATGAGATACTCTCTGGCCACCCATGTCTTGGCAGGGTGAAGACACTCTCAGAAATCAGTGCAGTGCAGGTGGCTGTGAAAGCAGTGATGTAGCTACAAGACCTCTCCCCTAATGTCAGGCTAGGGAGAATCATACTGTTCTTTCTTCACTTTCAGGACAGTTCACTGTGACAAATATTGAGAAGGGTAGGAAATGAGCAAACCATTTAATTTCTGTGTCCTATTGTAACTTGGTTTGCAGTATATGCCCACTGACCTGGGAGTAAATCTCACTGAACTTAGTAGGGCTTACTTCTGAATAGGCAGGTATGGGATAGAATCTTGAGGGGAGGGAGCCCATGTAATGTGTTATGTCTAACAAGTGCTTGCCCCTATCTAGATGTGATTCACCAAAGCACTTTTAGAAAAGGCTAAGGGGAGGGGGAATGGCAGCACCAAATAAAAAAGGAGAAAGGCGAGACTCAGTGGTAGTGAAGAATTATAGGAAACATTTAATAAAATGAACTGCCCAATGTATTTGGCAGAAGTCTTCTCTGAGGACACTGAAATTAGCCAACTTTATTATTCAAACAATATAAAAATATTCAGAACTAATTACAGTGGTTCTTGAATTTAATCCTGGGAGTCCGTTCAACTCCCGAAATGGTTCGAAAACCAAGGCACGGCTTCTGATTGGCTGCAGGAGCTTCCTGCACTCAATTGGAAGCCGTGTAAGCCATGTTGGATGTTCAGCTTCCGAAAAACGTTTGCAAACCAGAACACTCATTTCCGGGTTTGCGGCGTTCAGGAGCCAAACTGTTCAAGTATCAAGGTACCACTGTATATGAAATAGACATAGTAGTTTTAATGAGACAGAACTCATACATTCAATTTGCATTAGGAATTACATTATAGGCTGTTATTCTTTCAGTGCCCGAAAGCAGGTTTTCACCAAAAGCATTGGGCAAGTTACTGCTTTAGCAAGTTCCCAGTTATTATTTGAGCTGAAGAGTTGCCAGATTCTTGTGGCCCCACAGGCCCATTTGCAGCCTGGAGAAAAGAGTTGTGCGCCTGACACACATACTTAAGTAAATTCTAGTACTAATTTAAATGCTTTCTCAAAATGTAATTATTAATGGAATGGAACCAGAAGTCCCAAAAGTGCAGCTGATCTTTGGCCTGAGTCCTGCCCTACTGGGGCTCTGGGCTAGTGGCTATGCAGACATGGAACAGATTTTAAAACAGGAACAAAATCAGCTAACAGGGCTGTGTTTTTCTTCCACTGTGATGTTGCTCTCCTACTTTTAAAGGAACAGAAGTTCTACTTTGGAAATAAATTCATCTAGGTAGATACTGTAATTCTGTTATCCTGCAGGTCAGGATCCCTCTTCAACACTGGATTTCTCAGAAGAATGTTGTTTGAAGCAGTTCAGTATGGTTTAGAAGACATCCAGACTCTTCTAAAAACACTAATATGTGAAGCAGAGTGCACAATTCTCAAGCAGTTTTCAATCCATGGTCCTACCAGCCAGAACAAACAAGGTAAGAAGACAGTGAAAGGTTTTACAAACCTTGATAGGTAAAAGGGGCACTCCAGGCAGCAATTGTGAATTGTAGTGACTTGCTTTTTTAGTAAGAAAATTAAAAGGGGATTGCTAACTCAGTGTCAGAAAAGTGTGATCAAAATACAGATAAGACCTTGAGATTTCAACATGTGCCATGTTACTCAAATGAAAGCATCAAAGCCATGGTAACCATCAGTAATTTGAACTAAACCTTTTTGCTACAGCAGTAACATTCCACTCATTTCCCCTTTGATAGCCATTTGCTCACAAATTAACTTGGTTTTTTCCTTTAATGACTTCAGTGTAAATCTGATTTCTTTTCATTTTAGAAGAATGTGGTGTGTTTATTAAGACACCAGATACTGCAGCAGATTACTACGTTGTACATGGTAGGTCCCTATCAATCTAGCATAGTATGTGGAACCAAAGAGGGGTGGGCAGGAGTTCTTACTATAGTCATTCATTAAGCAAACTAGTTCTTAAAGGTAAATTTATGAAATGTGAAGATTTCCCACTGTAAGTAAGTCACACTGTTCAGATTAGCTGGATTTTAGAGGCTTTTGTGTGTTTCTTATCCTTAAATTACTCTTATATTCCAGGAAAAAGAAAAAATAATGAAAACAGCCAAAATGGAACAAAGCGTCAGAAATCAGAAAGCAATGCTGAGCATCCTGCCTTTTATTACAATATTCACAGGCACAGCATTAAAGGAATGAACATGCCAAAGTAAGCAACCTGTTGTGTTTTAAACGTATCTGATTGAAAGGAGGAAAAAGGCATTGATTTTGTGCGTTCATTTTTCTCCCCAGGTTAAATAAGTTCTTGCATTATCTCTCTCAAGCTGGCTATCGAGTAAGCCGGACTCATTTTGATCCGATGGGTGTTCGAACTAATGCCCCCCTGGCGCAGTTTAAATCTATCCTTGTGAAGTACAGTACACCCACATATATGGGAGCGCAATCGGAGGGCTCTCTGCAGGCTTCTGACGAGTCTCAGGTAGGAGCTGATGGTGACTTTGCCGAAGAAAGCACATAAAGAGAGCCAGTGTGGTGTAGTGGTTAAGAGTGGACTTGTAATCTGGTGAACCGGGTTCGATTCCCTGCTCCTCCACATGCAGCTGCTGGGTGACCTTGGGCTAGTCATACTTCCTTGAAGTCTCTCAGCCCCACTCACCTCACAGAGTGTTTGTTGTGGGGGAGGAAGGGAAAGGAGAATGTTAGCCGCTTTGAGACTCCTTCGGGTAGTGATAAAGCGGGGTATCAAATCCAAACTCTTCTTCTAAAGTAACCTCTGCAAAAATGGTCGTATTTGAAGATTTGTGTTATAAATGAACCAACAGTCTCCTTAAGATGTAGTATTTTGTTTATGACCCCTCAGCTTTTTTTACCTGTTTAAGGACACTTTTAGAAGACCATGTGCTCCTATTAATATCACAATTCAGCTACAAAGTTATTTATATGTTAATGCATGCTTTAAGGTTATCCTACAGTGACCACAAACTTCCGTCTCCTTGTAATTCCTTCTTCAGATCTATAATATTTCCTAAGAGGAGAACATAGCTGCGAGCTGAGGGGGACTGAGGGTGTGGGTGCAAGCATTACCAGCACCTTTTAATAAAGTGTTCTATTCAGCTGTGACTGAAAGCCCCTCATTTGATATGCCTTTGAGAAGCTTATAGGTAACAAAGGAAAGGTAGCTGAACAAGCCAAGATTGGGTATATTCCTAGAAAGGCAGATATTGAATACACAACTCATGCTAATAACCATACAAACCACAACATCACATCTAAACACTTTTCCCTACCAAACTCCATCAATGTGAAATTGTCAGTCTATTTTATAGTTCATATGAATAATTCCCTTTAAAAGTATAGTTGAGTAGGGTGACTGTGCCCCACTGCTCACTCCATTCACTCCCTGCCAGAATGGCATAAATTGGAGATTGTTTTGCAGTAGCTTACCCCATCCTCTCAGTCCATCTGTGGCAACTCCCTTTTCCTCCTGCTAGGAATCTGTGCTTTCCCCATACTTGCCATTCTAGAATTGGCCTGCCACTTAGACATGCTGGATTTTTAAAAACATAATTTATCTCCAAACCCATGAAATAAGAGGGAAAGCTCCACCCTGACACCTAGTGCTTCCCATCCCTGCCCATTTTCTTCCTAACCCATTTGCAGCACTCTCTTCTTCCCATCCCACAAGTTTTCATGTTGTGGGACTCACCCAGCGGCTGCTTCCTTTCTCATTCCCAACCCAAGAACCCAGAGATCTAGACAGTGAGCTTCTTTCTCCTTGCCTTTTGTCTCACAGCACCAAAGCTCCCCACCCACTGGTGGTGTTGTACCAGCTGCAAGTATTAGCTATTGATTTATTGTCTTGCACACTCTTCTAATAATCTATTGACCTTTTAGATTTATAAAAAGGGGGTGTTGAAGAGGAAGGAACAAAAAGTTTATATACATTAAAATGGTTAGTCTTATTTGTAGTAAACAACTAGTCAAAAACTAAAATATTTTATAGTTACTAAGACTAGTTTTAGGGCAGCAACCTGAAATTAAACTACAATAGAAAAGTAAAGCTATTCCTTCGACTTTCGAATTCCCTCCCTTTTGTATATTTACCAAGAAAATCAATAGATTTGTTTGCAATTCCAGTTTTTAGGGATTTATGCATATAAAAGTATTAACTATGACATTGGGAAGTTTTATTACTGAAAAGTATGTTAAGATGTGACTGATGTTGGTTTGTATTTGAGGTTTGTACTAATGTAATAGTGATGATGTATATAATTTGTATTATGGTTTTATTTATATGGTTCTTTCAGTAAGTACTCTTGACATCACCAAAATGTGTTGAACGTATTTTATAAAAATCATATTTTTAGTACCATTTTGAGGCTTTGCCCGTGTTTGGTGCTGCCCCCTTTCTTCCTTTGCGTGTAAATACTCAAATCAGGATTTCCTCTCCATTTTTACATCTAGTACTGCAGCACCTTTCATGGATTGCTTCATTTGGTTAAGTTGTTTAGCGTTCTAACTTTTCTAATATTATACAAGATTACAACTCGATTAGTTCTGACACAGCTATACATTTACTGAGGTTACTGATTTTAGTAGTGAAATAGTCATTCCGGAAATTCCAAGACTGGGTAAATTATGCTAATATAGCAGCAGACTACAGTGGTACCTCAGAAGTCAAATGGAATCTGTTCTGGAAGTCTTTTGACTTCCAAAATTTTCAGAAACCAAGGCTTGTCTCCAGGAAGCTCCTGCAGCCAATCGGAAGCAGGGTTGGACATTAGGGTTCCAAAGAACGTTCGCAAACTGGAACTCTCACTTCCGGATTTGCAGCATTCAGGAGCCAAAGTCTGACTTGCAAGGCATTCGCGAACCAAGGTACAACTGTACTTGTAAATACTCCAATGTAAGCAGATGTTAATATGCAATTATTCATGGCTTCCCTTTTGAAGAGGGGGAACACATAGTACCCATTTTCTGTTTTTGAAAGTAGATTTTATTTTAAAGAGGCAGTCATCTATTCCTTACGTGAAATGGCAGAGGATCCTTGCATGTACTTATGTGTCCATCCCCATAGGCAACTGCTCCAGAATGGAGTCACACTGGTAGAAGAGGAATAAAAACAAGTTATTTGACCCTCTCCTAAAGGCACACACAGCGTACAAGAGCAGCAGCTCTAAACGCCCTTCTTCTTAAATTACATTTAACACAGGAATGATGGGGTTATAAAAGGGTGCAGACAGCCTCACAAATCCAGGGGGTCAGTTCTTGGCTGGCCAGGGAGTAGATACCACCTGCTCTACATTTTATTTCTCTCTGCAATTTCTCCCACCTCCCTTGAGGTGTTCAGGGTGAGTGTCTTGAAGTCCAAGAATCACAGCATTCCAAAGGTTCTGCTTGTGAAAGTGTGGCAGTAACAAACATGCAGATGCAACATGTTCTGATGTGTGTAATTAGTCACAGTACTAAAGTCACAGAGCAATGGTTTGATCAAAACAGCTACTTTATGTATTAAAGTAAATATAAATACTTAGTGAATTCACTGTAACATGGAAGTAAAAATTCACATTCTCCCACACTAAGCTGGGACCACCACACATCCCCTAGGTAGATAAGCTTTCAGAATTTTACAGACACTTCATCTGCTCACAGGGTAAATCACAATGCAGATTTGTTTCTCTGCAGGTATTTGCCCATACAAAAGCATTTTTTTCCACATAAAAACAAACCTGATTATATTTAGTGGACATGCACTAGCAATCTATATAAATTGTACATTACACCAAATATACTGAACAAAACCAAAACAGGCATGGTACAACTTCCCTTCCCACCCCAGACTTCTAGTAATTGTAAGTTTCATGGCACATACTGCTAGCATAATTTTGGAATGTCTGATATTGAAGAGATATTCATAACGGGAGCATTTTATGAGAGTTTTCTCCTATGGCAGTGCTAAAAGAAAGTTAAGAGCAGAAAGCCATGTTTCCTCCTAAGGTCTTCCTAAAAGGCATATTAAGGGAAAGCAAGACACTTGAGTGCGCAATTTTGAAGGAACATTCCCTTTCCCAATACAAAAGGCAAATATCTATATACTGCAGTGGGAATGGAAGGCTTACAGTGGAATAAAGTGATCTTCGTCCTTACAGAATGGTGGCATTCTTCACTACAGTGGAACCTTGTATTACGTACCACCCCCCTTGTGAACGCTGCGTGTTACGAGCTCCGCTAACCCGGATGTAGATGCTTCCGGTTGCGACTTTTGCCCCGGGATGTGAGCGGAAGTTGCGCACTGGCAGGCACCAGTAGTGAAAGCGCGCCTCATGTTACAAGCGGTTTCGGGTTGAAAACGGACCTCCGGAACAAATTAAATTCTTAACCGGAGGTACCACTGTTTATGATAATTATGCTCAAAATGATAAACTACTGATGTACACAGCAACCAACAACTGAAAGCATGCCCAAGTGAAATTTAAAAATGCAAATACATTTTATTTATTAAGATTGTAAGTGCCAAGTGTTGTTAATATGGCTAATAAATAATATTTTTGAAGAACTTTCTCTCTCATTGTTCTGCAAAAGATTTTGTGCCTTTTACTTTAAAACACTGAAGATTCCACATCAATAATCCCACATATTTATAAGGTGTGCTGGTATAGAGGGTATGTTTGCCTTACTTTAGTTAGTTACTTGATATTGAAACCACCTGAGCTAGTAGCAAGGGTTACTAGTTCTAAAATGTATCAGTACTCATGGTTTTCCTCTTAACGGGCCAATGCATATATTATAACACTAGCTTCACACAGCACAGTGGAATCTACAGTCCCTCCCCCTCACTCCTGAACTGTTAATCAGTACATTAACACCAAAATTAACCTTTGTTAAAGTTAACTATGGTTCTCTTAATGTGAAGTGTGTTTCTGGTTACCCTAACTTAAGAAAGGCAGAGAAAGAGGAATTGCACCAGGGCTGATGGGAAAGTACGCATTCCCTGGTTTGCTGCCCATGTGGAAACAACTGGTGTTACAAGTAGCTATTTTAAATTTAACAAATGGAACAACTCATTACACGAACAACGTGTAAGAGTTCACTTACTGCCATGAATATCCCTTCTGGCCCCCAGCATCAGCAGTTCCTTTAGCATCACAGGTAGCCGGTTTATCAGCAAGCCTACTCTGGCCATATGTGCTTTAACATTGCTGTAGGGAAAAGAGTATGTTACAACCAACTCTGTTGCCTCTTGTCAACACTTATCAAGGTGCTAGTACATGTCTGCCAATGTGAAGCCCGTCAGCATGAATACATACCCCTAGGGAATCTTTGCTGCACCTAAGATCGTGCACATGGAACAAGAGCTACCAAATCAAAAAAGCAGATTGGACAGCAATGGTGGAATGTACAGATCATTCAGTCCTCCAGGGGGCAAGGAAATATATACAAGTATCACACCAAATACTGCCTAATAATAAGGGTATTCATCAAGGAATCAAAGTCTCGAAGCAGTTCTCCACGATGCAGAAGATGGTGTTTCGCTTATTTAAAGTAAACCAAAGCTATAAAAGCCATTACAGTTCCAACTCAAAGCCTTTGTCAGTCTTATTTGTGTTCCTTTGTTGGTGCATAGTACAGCTCCATGGGCTTATTCACTTTCCAGTACTTTTCACTGACCAGCTCCAAGGAAAACGAGCCATTTAAAACCTAAAGACAAAGTCAAAATTAGTGACAAAATCAGAAACTAAGCCAGTGTTTGCTGCCACTTGAAAATGAAAAGAAGACATAGCTAGGAAAATAACAAAACGTTTGACAAACCACAGCTTGCAAACAGCATTAAAGAGACAAGTATGTTTAGGCACAGCAATCTATAAATAGTCTAATATAATCCAGATGTCAATTCCAGAGCAAGAAGCAGCTACAAATACAGTTAAGACGCTTTGCTGTATTTTGACACGTCTACAGTTCTTTTACAAAATGATTCTTGCTAGCACAATAGGGCATATACTACCTCAGTAATTAGGTACCTGTTTACCTGCGGAAAGCAGTTAAGTAACTACAGCCCTTAGGATCGATGCTAAGCTTACTTTGTTAAACACGGGGTGGGAAATTGCCCCAAAGCTCTCCGGGCTCTATAGCAGCCCGAATGCAGAGAAATTACATCACAATCCTTTTCTAACAAAGACCCATTTCATTTGTCCTTCCTTCAGTAAGTTAAAAACAGCATGGTGGGCGGGAAGAAGCCGTGTGCATGTAAATCTGTGGTGGTGACCACACCCACTTTGGCCACTTCCAAATCCCAAGAGGGGATGCAGACCTTGGTCTCAAAAAGGTTCCACACCCCTGGTTTAAAAATAACTACACAAATAAGGATAGGCTCAAAGATGAGCACTTGTTAGTAACCATTCAGAAAGCATTCCAGATGAGCAGAGATTTGAATCTGGGATTTCTTCAAATCCAAGCTCAACGGCCCAGCTGCTATATACCACATGCTCTCTTTAAGCAGTATGACCATGTAATTATTTTATACCAATGTTGTGCTTATTTTTCCTAGTTCACAGGCCCACTTCATACAAGTTGCATGATCAGCCTCAAGAGGAACAGAAGTACATCAAAATCCTATTCAGAAATTCCGCACATTCTCCCTTTAAGTCATTTGCCATAGCAGATCCATCTCTGACATCAACAGGGCAAGCAAAGGGGTGCCTAGGCATGCTCACCTGAACACAAGTAGGTGCCCCTTTGTGGATGTTCTGGAGAGGATGCAGGGCTTTGGCAGCAGAGCCCAGGAGATGTGGTCTTGCTTCCCTTCCATGCATTTAGCCCTGTGCATGGAGAATTTCTCAATAGGACTCAGGTGTATCTTAAAGCTGTGGCACTTTATTTTCTCCCAATTATGGTTTTAGCTGAATCAGCTACTCACAGTAAACTGGCCATTAGCTGTAGCAATATAAATTGTGTACTGCTTCTCACTGGCTGTTTCAAGATTCATCTGATTTGACTCTCCTTTGCTTCGGAGTTCTTCCAAGGCCAATCTCACAGCTAGGTACTTGGACAAGTGATCAACTGTGGCATTGCCAGAGGTCTTTATGTACCTGCAGCAAGAACAAAGACAACCCATGTACAAAAATAAATAAATGACTGCAACTGAAAAACATCCACAAGCAAAATGATCCAAGATATAGGTAAAGGGCAGCAACTGAGCACTTCCAGGAGCTTGTCCGGAATAATCATATAGCACACACACCCCTTCGCAAAAGACTAGATCACTAACCACAACACCTTATGAAAAAAGGGACAAAAACCACTGCTTACCTTGTCTGTGCACTGTCATCATTTTCCATTAGTGTAGGATGGGGTCGGAAAACTAGTTCTATTTCACTTGCACCATCCAATACTGGGTCTATGGCAACTGTTGTATTATTATTATCCAATTCTAGCCCAGAATCATCGGAGGTTTTTGTCCTTTTGTTACTTGGCCCAGCTTCTTGATTACTGTGAGTTGAAGCATTACTACAATGCGAGCTGTCACCATTGTCTTCTGCTCCACTGCCATTCTCTATCGGTTGCTTCTTGCCTCTCTGTAACCTAAGAAGCATACATAACATGTTCAAGCAAGTCATGCAACCTCTTCAACAAGTCAATTTCAAAGACGTCACACAAGCTATCAAATATATGAATAAGACTCCCATGATCTCAAAATAAACTGCCAGCTGACACAATCAATGCAGAACCACCGTTTAGCATGCTCCACTATGGAAGAATTAAGTTTCTCAGAAAAAAAATTCATATGGAACTGAAGCACAGTGCAAGAATGCCAAATGTAGAAAGGCACGACCGGTGCAGAGGTGGACTCTAGAACCCCAGATTTCATTAAAACAGGTTTCTGTTTTCCTGCAAAAGCTCATTAATTGAAACGAGCTTACTAAGCTTAGTCAGTCATCTCCCAATTATAGACAAAAATGGGCAGGATCATACATAACACACATTAATCTGCCTTGCAGAATAGGAACCATTTAGCTCACTTCTGTCTACTTGTAACAGCAGTTCTCAAAACCTAAGCAAATATCTCTCACAACTCTGGTAGCATGATTTTTAAACTGAAAACATGGGTTTGAGCATAAGTCCTTTTGCACCCAATCAAGTTTTCTAGCACTAAGCTGCACATCCCCACACCCTCCAATTTCTAACTCCCAATTACTTGGAGTCTCTTACCTGTTCAGGGCCTGGATTTTCAAACCCTCCTCAATGCTATGGCTCAGGGCCTGCTGGTTATTGTGCTTACTGATCCTTGCTAGAACTCTCTCCTGATGGGCTTCATATTCATCACGACTTGGATAAATTTTACTGATAAGGGCATCAAAGTTTGGGTCTGGTCTCAGTGACCTCTTAGAAACAAGCTTTTTACGGCAAGTAGGGCATTCTTTGTTTCTAAGAAGAGAAAAGGAGAAAAGCAGTTCTACAAGTATGCTCTTCATAGCATGCTTTTGTAACAGTCTGCAGTCTTGATTAGTCCCTTCTTATTGAAATATGACTTACCAAACCCTTGTCATATTGGATACAGTCACAAACCAATTTTGCACATCGCACAATTCAAGCACCTGATGCAAACAGATTTGTTACACTCACTTCACAGTTGCTTCTTTTCAGTTACTACTCTTCAGTTAGACGTTACAGGTTTCTAGACTAGTTGGTAAAGGCTAAGCTTATTTCGAGGTATTTCACTTCAGTTCCTTAACTTAGCTGTTGAGGTATTACAGCTAATCCCTCATTAGGTGGGGAATGAGAATAAAGAGACACAATTCCTTACACGTCCCCTTCTTGGTCAGAAAAAAACACCAAGAAGTTTCTTGCTGCCAGTGCAGTACCTGACTTGAACCAGTGAGTCCTAGGTTCAAAACTTTGACGTGAAGTTCTCTGGCTGACACTGAGTCAAGTCTCTATTCTACAAGTTGGTTGTGATGATAAATTGGGATGGGGCATCATGGCTAAAGTCTTTGAGGGCAGAAACTGGAAAATGCTGGAAGATTCTAGTTCATCCTAGAAGGTTCATTTCTGTTGCAAATATAGTTTTGACCAGGGGTCAGCAAACTTCTTCAGCAGGGGGCCGGTCCACTGTCCCTCAGACCTTGGGGGGGGCAGACTATATTTTGGGGGGGAAATGGTGCAAGAGCACCATGAGTCCTGGCGGCTGCTTACCTGTGTCTTGCAAGCTACAGGGGCTGGTGGCAGCAAAGAGACGATGAGCGGCACATGAAAGGGCTCCGGAGAGGGGCTGCTTAAAATGGCAGCCGCTCAAGCGCTACTACTGCTGCTGCTGGCACCAACAAAGCCCAGTCCCCTTCCTCCTCTAGGCAGGGCGGGGATAAGCCAGGAGGAGGGAGGGAGGAGGCGCCGCCGCTGCCGTGTGAGGGAGAGGAAAAGAATGCACGCGCTGGTGATCCACGTGGTGATTCCCAGACCGTCTGCGGGCCAGATCCAGAAGGCAATTCGGCCTAATCCGGCCTGCGGGCCTTAGTTTGCCTACCCATGGTTTTGACTATCTGAAGGTCACGCTGAGCCACGAGAGATAA